ATGAAGCAAGAGTTAAGGTTATAAAGTAAACGGTACCTTCATAACATGCTCGCAGCGGCGCGACGTCTCCGTGTGCTGACGTCGTAACTGATTCAACTCATGCAAGGCTTTTTCACACTGCTGCTTGAGGCTCTCGTTGGTCTGCTTGCTAATGACGTCGTACTGCCCCAGCGGTTCGTACGGCCCGCTCATAACGTGCGAGCTGTGAGTCTTGCCGTAGTTCTGCTTCTCATAGCACTGGCTCGGCGTGAGCACGTCATACTCGATCGGAATCGACGGCACGGGCCGCTCGTTGCTCACGTAGCTGTGTGATATTGATTCTGCAAAGGTTTGAAGTTGGAGTACTGACAAGTTTATTGGTTTATTTAGCTTTTGGTGATTACCCACACAGTAGATAATGTCTCTTTTTTTACATTTAATATGAAAGATTTGAATTGTTGAAGATTATGTCCAAAAGCAGTCAGCTATTGTGTCCCACATTATGTAAGGCTTTGCTTCTTATGTATCACTCTTACAGCCATTTATTTCATATAATATTAGTAGGAAGTTATTCAAATAAGGTTCAGCCGCTTTCGCGAGATCGCGTTGGTTTGACTGAACCTCAACTTGTTCAAATAAGAAAATCATCAATATTTAAAAATGTACCTTAACCTGATGACAATCAGGACAAAATAAATCAATAAACTTGAATAAAATGTGTCAAAATTCAATAAGTTCCTTTTGAAAAATAAGTAGGTAAGTAAGTACTAAGTTTGCAGCAGGGGAAATAAACATCAGCACAAAACAACACATTCTCTATTTAGTATGAGATTTATTGTCCAATTAACTCAATTAATTAAACTGCAGAACAGAGCATTGAGCAACACTTGAAAGTTATTCAATCATCCATAAATTGTTACTACAAGATAAGTAATTTATATTAATTATTGGTAAAGAAAAATTAAAACTTGGTCACTTTTTCAGATTCTAGTTTAACTTATAATCTGATCCTCTTTTAAACTGTGGACTGTAATATAGATGACCCACGCTGAACTGTCCCACCAAACTCAATGACAGGGGGGCTCTACCATCGTTCAACTATATGGCTTCCAACATGGCAAAAATCGGAACCAGCGATCCGGTATTGACGGTGGCGCCCCACTGTCAATGTCATCGATAGGACAGTTCACTATTTTGGAACTATATCAGGGAATTTCACTCAAAAGATGTCAGACATTTAATAATTAATTAAACCGATTTGCCATACATGTAGCTCTATCTCACATTATTATTAAGTTTGACCAAAAGTAGATATTATGTGACAAAGGCATATTTGAAAAGTTTGTCACAATCCAGGAGTGACAAAAACTTTGACCAAAAATCTCAATGGAACTTTGCACTTAAATACCTACTAGCCTACCTCTTTAAAAAACTATTAAGGAAAATGTTTGGTGAATGAATGAGCTCACACAAAGCAAGAAGCAAATTAAACTGCCCCATTTTATAATTGAGCAGTTGATCATATCATAATTAAAGTTAAAGAACCTGTGTTTTAATGAGAAACGATAAATGTTGCACACATTTGATAAGCAACAAAAATTTATTAATTGTTCTTGAATCAATCAGTTGAATAGATAGTTGATTATACAAACCATTGCTTCCATTGCTCTCCAAAGATGAAGTCCCAGATGCCATCATATACCTGAAACTATAACAAACAAATTAATATAATAATACAATACTCATACAAGTCACATAACAATAATGACACATAACAGAAATAATTAATGGTGTTCACATTACCTCAGACTGTGGGGGCAACATCCATTGTCAGCAAGTGTGGCACCTGCAAACAGAACAGGGCTTTAGAGCTTATCACTGCTTTTGTTGTCCATTACACAGGGTGGCTACTTGACACATTTTCTACGCTCGAATGATTGTTGCAAAACCTAACCGCCGAGTAGGTACACTGTTGCAACTGTCGACAGGATGAAAGGGCAATGCGAGTAACAATCTGAAGCTTTGTCGCAAATATCGAGTAACAGTACATCGACACGGTTCATCAATGCCACCACTGAACAACCGAAACACTTATCGACCACCGAAAAGGCAACAAAAACTGTCCTTTCGCTACCAAAATGAATATCACGGCAAAAGACCAAGGAAATTACTATTTTACAATGTAAACAACAACCACAGCCCACAAAATCATACACTGATCGATCCGTACCTCAATTCTCACAGAATTACTGTTTGTACCAAGTGTAACTTGAAACAAAAAGATAACACGTATTTATCGTCACTAATTTGCCAACATTTCTCGCTTCTACCTTTTTTAGCAAAGCGAATGAATGAATGACGGATGGTCGGACATATTAAATCGATGTTACCAGTTGTAAATAGGCCAGTGTTGTACTTAAAAAAAAGGGTAACTAAAATCGGTATCGACTCAATTATCGATTAAACGTGATTATGATACTTTTCTCGTCAGCTGCTAATTACCGTTATTTCCTGTTATTTCTTCTTTTTTGTTTCTATTATATGGGTACTTAAGTGGGTACCACCAACGGCACCTTACATGCCTTATTCAAACCATTTTCAAACCGATAACACGGCTAGACGTATCTTCTGAAGATCATACAATCTTATTTTTAACCGACTTCAAAAAGGAGGAGATTCTTGGTAATATTGGTATGTTCTTAATTATTTTAAACTACTTGTTGTCCCAACTGGGAATCAACGTTCACGTCGAGAAACTTAACTACCTACTTACTCTCCTCTTTTAATACACCTCAGGCAGATAATGATAGGTATTTTTTATTTCATAATAACTTAGCATTACTAACGGCCGAATACTGAAACGCCATTTAAATATTTGACGGCTTCTCAAATAGTTAAGCAGCTCCTAAACTTACATTTCGCATATCTTCCACATCTAACAGCCAACTGAGTCTTTTGCCTACTATTTTATTATTTTAACAGCCCTCTTGGCCTGTGTGGCGAGTGTAAGGCCAAATACTTATTTTTGTTCGATTTCCTTTAATTTCTCTCTTTTTACCATAATCCTCACGGGAAAATCGAGGTAGTTCTTTTCTACTTTTCTCATTAACTCTATGACTTTTCTGGAACCATACGGGCCATTACACAAGCTAAGGCCACAAGCAAGCAGAGATTATTGTATAACGATAGTGTTGTTGGCATTAGTCGAGTAATTTAGTCGAGTGGCGAGTAATTTAGTAGCTAGCTACAGTCTTATTTTTTAGAAATCAGCAGAAATGTCATCAAAAATGGCCAACTGACATAAAAATATTTTTAGTCTGTGAACTAGTGATGCGACAAAACCTCTCGTTAATCGCGAAGTGAATTTATTGTAGTACTTGCGTATCATCGCCGGGTGATCGTCAAAATACTAAAAATATGCAACAAAGTCGCAACATTGAATGTGAACTAATTATGAAATTTTCGAGAACAGAAAACAAACTGTATGCACAGATGTAATCAAAAAACACACTGGACAGTAAAACAATCAATAATATCCGTAAAGTTATTAAACTTCAAATAGTTGCAAAAAGTTCTGTTTGACAGTGTTGCTACTAGTGACATCTCGCTCGCTCAGTTCTGTTTAAATATTGACATGTGAATAACACCCGGACTGCTCACCACGCGTCCCGGCTCACTCGCTCACTTGCTATACGAGTCCTAACTGGGTATTTTAGTCGAGTACAAAATACAAATCACAATTAATATGGTCAAAATAATTCAAAAGCACAAAAAAGAAAATAATTTGAACTTCAGAAACTATACTATTCACTTAACTGCTTGTTAAGTGTGATGAAGTCTTGTTTATATTAAAGCTTTGTTCGTCTAGTCGAGTAATTATTTCGAGTAGCGAGTAATTTAGGCTAAAGGTGTCCGAACACCACGTAACCAAGTTACTATAGTTCATAAGTGCCACTTGTGGTCTAAACTGAATAAATATTTTTGATTTTGATTTTAGATTTTGATTCGCGTTGAGAAAAAATACAGAGCACTGCCAATAGAGAGAGATGGCATGAGATCGTGCGGAGAGTTGTATCCTCCTCTACAACCGATGTGAACAACGCCTCAACGTGACCACGACCGCTCTGCCAAGAGCGTAACGAAAAAGAAGTGTAAGGCGTATAAAATTGTGGTAAAATAAAACCATCAACATTCATACAAAAAATCTCAGAACTTACTTACTTCAACTGGTCAATGTGAACTCGGTTTTCTAATTCTACTATGGCCTAAGTTAGCATAATTGGTCAAACGGCATTGCTTATTGCACTAAAAATAGTGTAAACAACTGAACAAAGCTTGAATTGGCTCAACTAAAAGAACGATTAAGTATGTTTCATCGCACTAGTAGAACAACTCGTTTTTAGTAACTAAACTACTTGCTACTGACCAAATGAAATAACCATTTTGCACTTTGGTTTAGTACAATATATAAAATAAAAGATTTCAAAGCCACTAGAGGAGCAGGGGTGCATGGTGGAGTGCGCTACTTGCCTGTCAAAATAGAACAAAATGGATCTGTATCTACTCGACTAACTTTTTGGTATTCGGGCACATTTAGCTAAACTACTCGCCACTCGACTAAAATACTCGACTAATGCAAACAAGGCTTGATTTAAGTAGGTACGTAGACTTTTACTTATTAAATACTGACATGGTACTTGCACTTGCTGCTTCATTTCAAATGTCTACAGGGAGAATACGTTTTATCACTAAAAGAAAATTCTACACTTTATTTATATAACGATCCAGTGCAAATAAATGACTATTTAAAGATAATTATTGTAATAATAACAATAGGGATTGATTTAATTGCATGTGTTAGGTATTACATCTATGTTATAATACTATGTTAAAATAATATGCTGTATAATAATAATAATGTTTTCTAGTCATTAATCGATTCATACTTAAATATTCGGGTAACCTAATGAATGGTTTATGAATGATACTAGAACATCACTAGGTATGTACTATTATTTCGATTTCGTTCGTCGTACAAAAATGACACGCAATAGCGAGAACCAATAAAAAACGACGCGCAAATACATGAGTTTTTATATTCAAGTGATCAAGCATACAAACATTGTTCACTAATTTGATCTGCGTTAATACATTATCCTAGGAGTTTGTGAACAGTGCAGGATACCCCAATAAATCGAATGTTTTGATGTCGTGAAGCATGAGCACGGCGTGACTTCCATGCCCTGCGTGCCTACGGACACAGCCTACGGAAGGGCGTGCGGTGCGGATTACGTTTACTATGAATGATTTTATCTCTTTCTAAACTTGAGTGTCTGTGAATGACCGAGTGTAATAGCGAGCGTACCAAATTATGGATTGAATAGTGTTTGTTGTTGATGTATTATGATATGATTATTTCGCAAAGATAAAAATCGCCGTCGACTGTTATCGTGTCGTCTTGAATTCGTGGCGCCCACCAAACAGCAGTCATATGGCACGAGTGTAACTACGCGGGACGAGGTGAATTCGTTACGCTGTTCGATTTATCATAAGCGCTACTATTTACGCACTATACGAAAAGGATAGTACGTATTTTTAGTTGCGACGCGTGTTCGACAGTGGTAGCGTAGGTTCGACAATTCGGGTGACTTTCATCAGCGAAGTAAACAACTTCAAGGTTATCGGTCGGCATGTGCCAGCGTTCGTCGGGGATCGGGATGCGGGCGCGCTAACATGTCCGCGGGAGCGGGCGGCGGCGCGGGCGCCATCGTGCGCCAGGGCCATCTGCGCAAGCTGAAGACGATGAAGAAGAAATACTTCGTGCTGCGCGCGGAGACGGCCGAGTGCTCGGCGCGCCTGGAGTACTACGAGTCGGAGAAGAAGTTCCGCGCCGGCGCCTCGCCGCGCCGCGTGCTGCCGCTCAAGAGCTGCTACAACATCACGCGGCGCCTGGACCTCAAGCAGAAGCACGTGGTGGCGCTGTTCACGCGCGAGGAGCAGTTCTGCATCGTGGCCGAGAACGAGACGGACCTGCACGCCTGGCTCACCGCCATCCTCAAGCAGCACCGCTCCGACGACGCCAGCGCCGAGCTACTCCATCCCATACGTGAGTCCGACCTTACTATTAGTGATTGTATAATAAACATTGTCTTGCACAATGATTTGTAACGAGTGGAGCGATCAAAACAACTCAACTCGCTGCACAATTGTATTATAGCTGTACGCGCCGAGTGGCCTTTCGGTCTTGCAATGTTTACCAATTTTATAAACAGCGTTCGACCTTAATTAAGGATCTAATTTTATTAGTCTAAATTTAGAGAAGTGCCTAGGTGCCTTTACCTAGTTTAAACTGCCAAAAAGTTAAATTGGCAAATGTAGTGCAGCTGTGTTATCATCTATTTCACGAACTGTGAGGGGCCTTTATGGTATCACATTTGTTTGTTACAAAAACAGATAATGGAACTCTAGTGTTATCAGCTCCAATCACAAATGAGGAAAGAACAAAACATGTTTACCTAGTACAGTCATAGTTACAACAATAACAACAATTTAATGGACTTTTCTCATTTAAAGTTTTTAATTAGCAAAAATTTACTTATTAGTAGTGTTGAACTTATCTACATAATTAGTCACAAAAGAGTAGTAATAAATATGTAGGTACCTACAAGCCCAAATTCATTCACTCATTAGTTTGAAATTAACATATTAATAACAGATACCTACTTGGTTATCAAGTACCAATAAGTAACTAGGTACATAAATACTTTATTTGTATTAAGTTGTTCCATCCTGTCTCTCAAGTTAAATAATCCTTAAATAAAACTATTTTCTTTTAATAACCTTTTAATAACAATATTTTTTTAAATAGTTTTGGTATTTTTTAAATTGAATAATATTTGTTTTTAACGAGTTACACTTGATATCATGGACCTATTAATATCTTCTCTATTAATGTTTTTTTCACATTTCTTGTTAAATCTCAAACCAACATGTCAAATGGAAATTTACAGATAGTGAACATAAATTCGAAGGGCAATGACCTTTAAATTACTGGTAAAGTGCCACCATCATCAATCACAATGAGTGCTCCCTCTTATGTTTAAGGGACAATATGATAATTATTATACTGTTTTAAATCAGTATTAATGCACTTTTTCCCAAATATGTATTACTATTTTTTATATTGTTGGGAAAGTAATCAGTCAATAACAAAATTAATTTGATTAGGTAATCATCAAATTTCATGTAAAATTAATTGACATAATTATTTTTTTCCTTTTTTGTTCTTTTTTTGTTTTTTCTTTATTTATTTTTTATAATTTATTACTTTACAATTAAATTCAGACTTAGGTAATATTATAATCATCATTATGTTAGGTTATTTTACAATGTTTCTACAAAATTCAAGTGAAGTACTAAAGATCTGATAGTCCTTTTGTGGTATGGCAAAGGTTGGCTGACACAACTGAGAGACTGGGGTCAGAATATTTATGTAGGTACCTATTTAGGCGAGGTATTATTAAAATTAAATACCTATCTAAATAAAACTACATACTTAGATTATAGTAACTTTTGAATAAGATAATTTAAAATAGATTTAATTATCAGCAGATAAAGAAAGAAAGAAAGAAAGAAAAACATTTATTTGGTTCCAACTTAAAATATAGCATACAAAATCAGATAACAAAAAAACAGATAACAGATACAAGTTAGATAAAATAACATGTATGTTGTTTATAGCACTAATGTTATCAAGCAACTCTGTTACAAAACTTATAAATACAATGTGGATTTTGTAATGGACAAGCTTGGTTGGATATCATTACTAATCACAGGTCATGGGTTAATTCTGATAATTAACTGTTTATCGGGCTAATTATCTAATTTGTAGGGGGGTTTGTTTTTAATTGTTTTTTTTTGTTATTATGTAAATATGTGCTAGTGCTAGACAACCTACTTTGTAGTGGTTTGAGTACTACATTTTAATAATAAATGGATATTGATGCCTTCAGTACACCTAAATGTTAGACTATCTCAGAAACGTAGATTATGACTCGACGGCGAATCGAACGTGCATCCGCCAGAGTCGCATCAAGTTCCCTTATGACCAACGCTTCACCAGTAAAAATCATTGTCAAGGTTAAATAAACTATATCTGGGGGCACGGCAGTGCCCCCACCAAGTCGAGCAAAAAAGCGGCACGGCCGTACCATCCTTTTCTCGAAGCAATTCAGGCCATTTTCGACCGCCTGTAACTTCGTTGTGGATAAAACTAGAAGGCTGAATTTTCATTAGCTATGTAGGAATTGTAAAGACACGGTATATTTAAAATTTCATTCAATTTGAACCAGTAGTTTAAGAATTATAACGGGTCAAAGTTACTTAATTTTGTCACTCACTGACTCATTGCTACCTAGTGCAATATTTGTATTAAATTGTAATAACGTAGTTAGATAAGTGTTTCTTTAAAACGGAAAACAAAAGTTGCTAATGTATTAAAAATAAATAGAAACCTATTATAGGTTTTTTTATTTACATTCAAGGATTTAAGAAAGTTATTATGAAGTTATCTTACAATAATTCTTTTTAAGCCACAAATATTCCTTAACTCTTTACTAATTAATTCAATAACATAATATTGTTTATAAATTATAAGTTCCGAATAAATTAAATACCTATTAAATAAGTAAAATTCGAAAGTAAGTAACTAACTATATGATTTTGTATTTCTCGCCTTAACTAGCTAAACTAATATCACGAGATTTACACTCTTAATCTTAATATCAACAATAATTATAGAAAGGGCTACTTTTTTCTCAGGAAATTGCACAGTTACCTCGGAATGTGCGATACCAATTTTGTGACCCGAGCGGGCAATCGCTAGTTCAAATTTTACACGAAGCCCCTTATAATATTTTGTAGCGATTCTTTATTGGGTTTCAAATTGACTAAAATGCGACGTTGCCAAACGAGCGCTACGGATGCGGGTAATAAGCAATACTCAATCCTAAACGCTTTACATAGAGCTTGGTTTGCAAGGGTAAACATCTACAGTGGTGCGCCGACGCTGCTTAGACGCGAAACATGAATGAAGGGGGCGTAGCATAATCGAGCGTGTGTGTGCAAACAATTTAGGCCCTTAAGGTGTCAAGGCGTTCGAGTCCCCGATAGTACATACTTTGAACCCTATCTACCGTTTACTATTCGACTTTGACCCACCTGAGTCACCGAAGTGAGCAATTTAGATAATTATCCTGTTGTTTATCGTACAAGTCAAAAACGGGCATTATATTTCGCCAGATGTGAAATAATGTTTGGCGCCAATTGGCGTTCTGCAAGTCATTAATACCGCGGTGCGGCGTTCCCCGAAAACGGAACTGCACTGCCGGTAAACATGTTTTCCTGTTTCTTTTGCATGCTGTCAACAACAGCTTTGATAAATGTTTGATCAAACATTGGTTTTCGTTTGCAATGACAAATCATACTATTATTACTTGTTTGTTACAGTTGTTATTAAAAATATTATTATTGTGCTGCATGTTTATCTTTGTATATGCAGACATGAATTCTCAGAAGTTTAAAAAAATCCCTAATCCTTTTGTATGAGATACGAAGCAATCGCTGTTAGGCCCTTTCTGGGATCATAAACAAATTAATAATGCTTGCAGTAGTACATACTTACATAGTAATAGGGATATTTATTTATTTTAATACATACCACACCTTTAAAAAAAACTGAGTTCATCCAAACCACTTTGATTGATGAATAGGCAATTTTCACAGAAGGTACTTTGAAAATTGATTTGAAAGTTTCAAGTTAGTGTCCTACTAAAGGTTTTGTTAGCTGTAAATAACTTGTAACTGAAATGTTTGTATGTAAACCATTTTTTTTTTCTTCCGATGGGCGGACCGCTTTTTATTCTTATTTGAGCAGTATTCGTTTAAAGAAAAAAAGAAACAATCTAATTATCCAATAATTTTAGTTATTAATACCTATCAATTTGTATTGTAATAATACTTGGAATTATTTAAATTATTTAGTGATTATAATAATTAGGTATGTAATAATTTTATTATTTTAATATATTATTTTAATTTTTCAATTAATATTTTCCTGCGACCTTTTTAGTGCCTATCACTATATGTTTAAATCTCTAAATTCCATCGCCCTGATATTGCGGCAGCCTGTATTAAAATAGTATTGTATTTTCCTTCTTCTCTTTTTATTAATTACCATTCTGGAATATATTTCTTACTTGGGGAATCCCGACAGATAAAATAGAAATGAGGAAGGAAATCACCATAATGCACTTGATAAATGTATTCAAAAACAGGAAAAAGGGGTGAAAAATAACAAAATAATATTTTATTGAGATTTTTAACACTTGAATTTTAATAATAATCACTAATTGATTTGCTTAAATTACTTTCAAATTGTGTATTCGGGTAGTTACACAAACGCGGGGTCTGTGTAAAAATGTTCTCTAAAAAAAAAGAAATTACATAATATTTGTACCTATTTTTCTTCTCTAACACTATAGCCTACAAAAACCTTCAATATGCATTTTCACATCTAACTTACTCAATTCAAACTTACATCTTCTGATACCAGTTACAGTAGCACAGACCTTTCTCTAAAACATAATATTAATATATTTTTTACCCGACTACGGCAAAGCCAAAGGAGGGTTATGATTTTGACAGGCTATGTATGTATGTATGTATGTATGTATGTTCATGTGTTCCCTCGTAACTTCTAAACTACTTATCAGAATTCGACAAATGACATATCATTAGAAGCGTCTCAATTGTCCGCTGGTTATAGGCTATATGGGGTTTCACAAAATCGAATGTGGCGCCCTCTAGTGGACAAAACATACAGAGTTAAAAAATAAAGTTAAGATAAATAAATATGCCGTGTTTGGTATCATTTGAAAGCGCTTAACTTGTACATTTTGAATATATATATATTACTAGCATTTGCTTGTGACTTTACCTGTATTCAAGGGCTGATTGCATATAATTCACATCTTTTCGTTCATAGCTTCTTTACTACTTATTAGTTCATCAATTTAATTTTTGTTAATATTATGCGCCACAAATACACTTTAACACCAAAATAGTACAAATAATAAATAAAAAGTAAAAAAACTAAAACCCAACTACGACAAAAAACGACGCTGAAAAAGTATAAAACAAGATTTTCAGAATACTGAACTGAACTTATTTCCTAATGTAGTTGCATAGTAATTTTCATGTTTGGAAAGGCGTAGTCACACGTTACATATACCTACCTACCGTAGCACTTTGACAACGTGTGACTACGCCTTTCCAAACATGAAAATTACTATGCAACTACATTAGGAAATTTGTTCAGTTCAGTATTCTGAAAATCTTGTTTTATACTTTTTCAGCGTCGTTTTTTGTCGTAGTTGGGTTTTAGTTTTTTTACTTTTTATTTATTAGTTCTCTTGACGATAAGTATCGTCCAGAACCTTCCAGAACTATCAAAATTGTTTCCACTTTATACTACTGACTGAAGTATGTAGTTTCACAATTTTATTTTTATTTTAGCGCAAATCGAGCTTGTAACCTTAACCATTTCGAAAATATCTATAAAAAATTGTAATTTAGCGTTTACTTATTCAAAATGCGTGTATTGTATTGCAATGAAAATGTAACACTGCACGCGATTTTAATTCGCACTTGACCTGTTTTCTGCTGTTCAATAAGGTTCTAAATTTTAGGTGTGTTAGGTATTAATTATTTGATTTGACAAGAAACATTGTGTAATCAATCCAATAAACTTTTCAGAACACGTATGGCAAGTGAACGTTCAGAAGAAAGGTCTGGGGTCTTCCAAGAATATCCAGGGGCTGTACAACCTGTGCTTGACTGACAAGACCCTCACCTTGGTCAAGATCAAAAGCCACAACAATGTCATCAGCGACCTGGGTATACCGGAACGGATCGAGTACACCCTGAAAAATATCAGGAGGTAAGACTCCTAGACTACAATATTTTTGTCGGCAGATGGTTTAGTCGGGCTGTTAATTAGTATGAACATGAGGTGTGCACATTACATTGATATGTGACTTTGTTGGTGTACCTAATAAATAAATAAATATGGCGGCTGATTACTCATACAAATTAACAGAAGTCGATCAAGCTATCGACCGATATACTGTGTGGACTTTTAGGCGAGGCTACTTTTTGTCACCGTGACAGTATATTTTTGTCTTTTACCCTTTTATAAAGAGAGACACAAATTAACAGAAGTCGATCAAGCTATCGACCGATATACTGTGTGGACTTTTAGGCGAGGCTACTTTTTGTCACCGTGACAGTATATTTTTGTCTTTTACCCTTTTATAAAGAGAGACAACACAGTACTTATCTATGGAGAGACATACTGTCACGGTGACAAGTCACCCGTGTGTGCGCGCCTTTAGTTGTATAAAATATCTCGTACGCAATCGCGGCTTCCGCAGTTTAAAATTTGGATTATCTGATTATACTATTCACGATAACGCTCCAACGATTGTAGATAGGTTTTTAGCGATACTTATCAAGCCTTAAGTGTTTGTCAAAATAGATTTTTTTATCTAATTATAATATTTTACCTTTTAATTTTAATTATTATGGTAGGTACCAACTTAGAAATTAGAATTATGTATTTACTTTCCCTTTTGACCCCTTTCGTTGCTTGAATTGCAGTTAATTCGAGTATAGCCAAACTTCACAGTTTAGCTGTGGTTTAGCTGCCAATGTAGCCCCCACCATTGAAGGTTGAGCATTTCCAGGGATTTTTAACTGTTGGAATCCTTACTTACCCATATGGTTCAACAACCCAAAGTGTGTCTTGCTCTCCGATAGGAGTACCGTACAGCACAGGACCGATGACTCTGAAAATTATTTAAGAAAGCCTTTGTCTACCTACAATGAAAAGTTTTCCGACAGAGAAGAGACGCTAACCGTAGCGTTTTATTACCTTAGATACGGGACTATTCCCACCTCTCGTTCCCACCGCTACAACTCCTGTGTAGCCAGGATCTACAGCTTGACCGTCAATAAAAACCCAACCAGTGAAGGCCAAGTTTGTCCCGGGGGAAAGTTAAACTATCATTGGACTCACAACATGTTATCTTAGATGTCGTCGTCGTTTCAGCCAAATGACGTCCACTGCTGGACAAAGGCCTCCCCCAAGGTTTTCCATAATAAACGGTCCTGCGCTGCCCACATCCAGGCTCTTCCCGCGACCTTCTATCTTAGATGTAACCTATGTATTTGTTCCCTTAGATGCGGCGATTCTGAGTGTTTCTTCTACATGGAGGTGGGCCGGCAGACGGCGACGGGCGCCGGCGAGCTGTGGATGCACTCCGAAGACTCCAACATCGCTCAGAGCATGCACTCCACTATACTCCTGTGAGTCTTGTAATTTAAACCTTTATTCACTTATGTAAGGTCGAAAATCAATTGTCATGTTGTACGCTGTAAAGGGTACAAGTCTACAAAATAAAAATACAAAAGACGATCTACCCTGGTTTAATGAAAGATTAATTAATAATTAATTTTTTAATGATTCTATCGCCGGTGTCGAATAGAACCTTTTCGTTAAAGCTATCATTAAACACAGATATTGTTTTTGTCGACGTCCGACGACATCATAAAGGTAGCAGGAAGGCGCTGGACGCAGGCCGCTACCAACCGGGCAGCATGCAAAGCATTGGGAGAGGCCTATGTTCAGCTCCAGATGATGATGATGATTGTTTCTGTCTCCATTTCTCCGCGATTCAATTCGATGCATACGCCGTCTATTGTCTATTGACAGCAACTGAATTTTTTTGGACAAAACTTCCAGCGCAATGAGGAACTGCGCCAAAGAGTCGGAGAACGAGCGCGACCACATCATCCTACCCGTGGACGCGCCGGCACTGGCGCCGCGCAGCCAGTCCTACTCCGACACCAAGCACGGCCGCGCCGGGCTCTCCAACGGTGAGCCTCCCACAGGTCCCAAGGGCATCCGTGAGCCCCCCACCCTAGTGACGAGAGAGACGAGAGTTCACAGTGTCAAACGTTGGATTGTAATAATGAGGGCTATCGTTTTTATACTTAACAGTTGGCACCCCTGGCGATTGACAGGACCTTACTCTACAGTGGCGCCATCTTGATGAGCGCAAATGCAATAGTCTTCCTACCACTTTAGCGCTCACCAGTTGGTGCCAAGTAAGTGACAGGACCTTACTCTACAGTGGCGCTAACTGGTGAGCGCTAAAACGATAGCCCTCATTGGTCAAGAACGCAAAAAGACAGATTCATGAAATGACACATTTGCAAACTAAATAAAATTTTGAGTATTCATTCTGCGAATTTGGCATTTTACGCCTCCTGATAATATTATTGATATTTGCGGTTCTGACTTTTTGTACATCTGACATTTTGCATTTTTGACGAGCACCTGTGAGCCCCGCTCCTAGTGGTCCGACGAGCGACCAGGGCTGTGTCTAGGTAGCCAAAGGCCACAGAGCTAAATGGTGCATAAAACTGGAGCCCTAACTAAAAAACTGTAAAGTAAAATTAAGACAAACTCAATGAGGAAATGTTTTATTTAATTACACATTTGTGAACCATTTTTAAGTGTGAATCTGAACCTAAATTGGACATAATGAACTCTAGTCACGAAATCTGCTGGATACATTTTGGAAGATGACCATTGTAATTTTAATTACACATTGCACCTGGACAATAGTCATAGTAGTGTAGTAGATACTTCGCTGCAGTAGTGTGGTATATTATATTAGTAGTGTTTATAGCATTATGTAGTTTTAGAACATTATTATGTGACTAACATGAACCCATTTAGATAATTTGCTCTGTAGTTGCCATGCCTTAGCATCGTGCCCCCCACCCTGTTTTGAGTCCCTACGATTTACCATTACATTGTAATTTTGTCCTCTAGCCGATGTCAATGTCATTCGGAAAGAGACTTATTATTGTTGGTCGAAGCGAAGCGATGTTTTATTTAGTCCCTAATTCGTAAAAAACATTGGCATTAGTTGATAGGGTATCTGAATTCACTTGTTTCGGCAGTCGAATGTCGAATTTCTTTGATATGGCCGTTGCTTTGGCGTGTCTCGCGACGTCTGCGACTTCTGAGTCGAGTGTTGCCGCGTCTGCGACTTCTGACTTGGCGTGTCTTGCAGACGTGGGCCTGTGCGTGGGCTCGTGCCTTAGGCCGTGCGCGACGCACTCCATCGACGACTCGGCCGCTGCGCTGGCGCCGCTCGCCTCCCCGCCGCCCCCCGGTACGGAACGGAACCGCCTCGGTACGCCGGCGGATCGCAATGTAAACGGCCAATGACTGTCTAAAAGATGGACTTACAAAAATAAGACGAAACTCACACAGACAATTTACAAACGCGTATTGTGGAAAGCGGATGATGTGACGTCCACAAATGCTGTATACTTACACACTAGTATCGTAAATAAGTACACATCACATAAAGTTACGCATATTTGATATTTCGTTTCTCCTTCTATCATGGATTGTAACTAAGATCACAAGAATAGTGTGAGACATAATCTGACTCAATTGACCCGCCGACGTGCCGCCAAAAAAAGGCAGCATATTATTTATTTTTTAGGCAACTGTAATGCATGTCTGATAGACACTATTACAATTTCAAATTCAACCATTGAACCTACTTTTCAATACAGCAATAATGTGTATTGATCTTATAGAAATATTTAACTTGATGTTCAGTGGTAATCAAACTTACACCGCTATACAATGACTAACAACACAATAAATACCTACTAAACTCATGATTGAGTTTTTAAATTAATTTGCACCGTTTTACATTGCGATTCGTTCGGAATAATCGTGGACAAAAACACATGACTGGTACTAAACACTTATCATATCCGCTCGCGACCGCTAAGTGTCAATTTCTAACATGTCCCCATCCCCGCCTTAATATCTTGACATGCCAGAACATGCGCTTGATTTCTTGACATGTTGACCTTACAACAATTCTTCCTGACTCACGTGTGTATCTTCCCTTCGCATGTCAACATGTTATTCTTTTCCAAGCTACCTGTGTTCTTACATGCGTCAGTAAGTCCACGTAATAATCGGTCGCGCTTTGTGCTTACGTCATGGAAATACTCTGTGAAACTGTTGTTGTCGTTTGTAAAACAACTTAACAAAACGGAGTCCAATTAACGTTATTTAATAACGGATCGACAAAATTGCGTTTCTATTTCGTATGTCTGCTTCACTGGCTGCGCTTTTTGTTCCGCTTTTAGTACATTGTTTGTTTTACATGTTTAATATATCGTTTGAAATATGTTTATCATGTTTATTTCTCATTTGAATCATGCTTTTAGAAATGCTTACGTTAAAAAACTGTTTATGTTGTTTTATTTATGTTTGTTGTCTCGTCGCTTTCAAATAAATTGTTTACTCGTACCAGGTAAATTAAATGTAAAGCACGATAAATACAAACGTGTTTTGAACTTATGCACTAGAAAAATATAAAGAAATGTTTACTTCTTACTTATGATAAATCTTAAGTTAAAAGGTACTGTATTGTTTTATTAGATATCAACTTTTCCTCTTTGTAAAATGTGTGCTGATATCCTGTTAATAATAACGGTAACTCACAAGTTTTCCTAAAAAAATGTTTTTCTTGTGTGATTGCATACACTAACAGTTAACTTAGAATTTTTAGGTATAAGCATGACGGTTGATGTGGTAATGTAAGGGTTTTCGGATATTGGGCACTCACTTGCATGTATGGTATTGTAACTGGTGCGTCCAAAACATGAATGGTTTTTGGTGACGGCTGTGTCGTGCAGTGTGGTTCAATTAATTAATCAAACATGGTACTTTGAAAATTGTATTGGCATGTGTTTATTTCTTTTTTAAATTTTCAGGGAATTAAACACTGTTGATGTATTCATGCACCAATTTTCAAGTTACCAAGTTATTTACAGGAATGTTCACATTCAATCAATACTTAAAATATGGCAGATATTAACCATTTTCTCATACATATTACATTTTGTAATATTTCATCTTATTTTATTTAACTATTTGCCATATTTCAGTTCATTGTAACATTTATAAAGAGCGGCGGTGACCTCGAATAATTAATACATTTTCCTAAACACGAGTGCGTGCAGCAATTCGGCAGTCCTTGATAGTATGAATTTTGTAAGCACTCACTGTCTACCGAAATAAAGCGCCACATACTGTCACTCGCTCGACGTCACCACCGCTCCGCATTACATTTAACCCCCATCGCACCGGGTGACGCTTGGTGCCATTGTTTACGTGTCGCTTCTCATGTCTTTCGCAGCCGAAAACCAACCGCCGAATAACTCATTAAGTATCGATAGCCGCGAGAAGGCGCGCGTGGTCAAACACCACCGCACGGTGTCGCTGCCGGCCGGCTGTCCCTGCGCCGCGCCGCGGGTGGTTCACGAGCGCACGCGGTCCGCGCCGCTTGCCGGCGAGGCCGACCGCGAGCCGAAGAGCTGGGCCCGCCGCGCCTCTACCGGCGCCCGACACGCCAAGCTGTCCCCAGCCCATGCCAAGAGTACGTATCCGCCCGCCGTCTCATGCCAAGCTGTCCCTCGCGCACGCCAAGAGTATGTACAGTCGCGGAATGAAAAGGTTCGTCACCTTAGTGTCGGTTTTCGCTTGCACTAGGTACTGTAAGAGTCAAACTTGCCAACATAACCGTGCAAGAAACAGTGCTGCTAACATTTAAATAAATATGACGTTTGCTAACGAATAAGGTTATGCTTGTTTATTTTTCTATCTCATCAGTGCAATGTTACAAAATGTAGTTTTTTTTATTTAATAGATAATGGCAGGTTGAACCAACAAGAAGGTTTTAGTTTATCAATCATAATAATCTTCTTGACAAGTTAAATCGTCAAACAACTTTGATCTGAATAATTTTGAACTTTACTGATGAACAGTTAAAGATTATTTTCTCTAACTTGAGATGATTCTGTAACATAGTTTCAAAAGGTAATATGTGCTCGCGATTCGTTGAAGGAATCAATTTGAAAACTGACGAACCTTTTCATTCCGTGACTGTACCCGCCCCGAGCCCGTCTCGCCACCACGTTAAGGGTACCTATCCGTTCCGCCGCCACGTCACTGTCCCCTACGCACGCCAAGCTGTCCCCCGCCCACGCCAAGAATACGTACCCCACCGCCAAGCTAAGCTGTCCCCCGCGCTGGTCTATGAGGACAAAAGTGGCATAAAGTGCAGCGAAAGCCTGAGAGTATGTATCACTCACCTGAACTCCTGAAGCCGAGGATGGAGAGATTCACCACAAATGCTACAGAAAGAGTAAGATGAAAGTCATTCAAATAAAAGAAGGCAGCGCGCAGCAGTTCACAGTTCACACCTCACACATTGGTTTACAGTACATCGGTGTTTACACATCTACTAACACCACATCACTATCATGTTGACAGACTTATTTATTTCATACTAATGTATTGCAATAAAAAATGTCACTGCGTTTTACTGTGCACGTATTATCCGATTAAAAAAATCAAAGTAACAGTCAAGAAAGAAGTAAATCTGTCAACGTAAAAACCCTATTTTATGTTGCAAGATCAAGGCACGTGGTAAAAATGTTTATGTTGCTTTTATGTTGTAATTTGTTGCCAATATGTGTTGTTATGTTCATAATAATATTTTATAATTATTAATACAAATCTAACACTTTAAACATGTGCATTTGAAGATGCGTTATGACTTCACGGGATTAAACACATTACAAATTGTATCACGTGACGTGCTTTCTTGTTTCGTTATCAATGTTTGTTCTTACTTCGTTTATAAAGCTTTACTTTCTTAAATACTTTTAATTACATGAGAAAAATTTCTGTTTTAAAACACTTTCGAATTTGATTTTATTGCTACACAATCAAATTAGGTAACGGTACACTATGATACAGTACTTGAATTCTGTAATGCCAGGTCAATTAATTTCCTGAGTTTTGCCCTAACGTGCGACTGAGACAGCAAATATGTAATAAAAAATGTACGTAACTACGTACCATTGTATGTGCTACTTGCATGAATCTCACTATCTACTCTATCTGCTTATTTCTGAAAAACTTTCCTTTTAATCTAAATTAACTATGCATTTTTCTTACTTTTAGCAGTGAGTCATCATTCATCTGGAAGTGCAAAGCGACATACGATATCCACTAATTTCTGCTTTACACTGGACAGGCAATACAGTAACAGAACTGAGAGTTTTTGAAACGATAAAAACGTTACAGTGATGAGTCTTTGACGATATCAGCCGGCTAGGATGAGCACCATGGTAAAATCTTATCGATGATATTACACGTCAAAATGTATGGGCTTATCTAATAAAATCGATAAAATGGCGTGATAAAAGCCTATCGCGGCGCTTATCCTAGGCCTACTGGGGCCTTAGTACGAGTTTACACCAAACGTAGTCGCTAGTGCGTAAAAAAATGACATTAAATGTATAACAGATTGTACAGCGTCCCTAGCGGATACTTTCAAAAACTAAAACCTTCATAGATTTTTTTGATGCACTCGCTAGCGAGGACGTTCAATGAAAACTCGCATTAAGCATACTGGTAATAGATTTTACTGCACAAAAATTGCGGTATTTGAAACTCACGCTATTATAAGCTGTATTGCCGTCCAGTATAAAGCCGAGAGTGGCGCGATTATCGTGCGGAGCGTTAGGCTGGTTTTAGTGTCACGCGGACCCGCTCCGCACGGCCAGTCTGTATGAACTTCTAGGGAGCGTTTTAGAGTAATGCGGTCCGGAGGAACCGCTCCGCTCCCTAGCAGTTCATACTGATCAGCAGTGCGGAGCGATCCGCACTGACACTCCGCGTGACACTAAAACCAGCCTTTAGAGTGTGAGTTGTCTGCAGATGCAGTCCGCAGTCGCTGCGACAGTATGCCGTCGCGAGTGTCGGTGTACGAGGTAGTGGAAAGGCCTCCACCGAGGTTAAACGACATTGACGGTGAGTGACAATAATGAAGCTGCCATACTTATTATCCGAATTTGTACATCAGTGGGAATATAGTTCCCACTATATTTTGAACTTTATTTCCTTGTCTTAGCCTAGGTGCAGACCACCGACTTTTAGTTGGGCGATAGTTGGGTCGGTCTGTTAATCAGTATAGATAGAGATGTATGAAAGTGCGCACATTATACTGATTAGGTATCGGCCGATTCTTCATACAAATTAAAATTGGGCCCAACTCTTGGCCAACTAAAAGTCGGTGGTCTGCGCTTAGGCTTAAGGTCCAAAAACTTGTGTTAAAGGCTGCAACCCCCCTAGACAAGTTACAAAATGAGACAGCTTTCATTTTGAAATCGCTTCACGGAATTAAGCAACTCCAATCAAAAATAACGCCGGAGCGTTACAACTTCTAATTTACAACTGTCCCGTTTTGTAACTTTTCGAGGAAAAATTGGCCAACTAATGGTGATTTCTTTACACATTTTCTGGTTCAAATGATTCAAACTACACCATAGTTGCAATCATTTTCGAACGCTCTGACTATACGCAAGGGCCTTCTGTGCGGCATCGCATATACAAGTGTTAAAACCAAATCGAAGACCTTTTTTTAGTCGATTTGAAAGTAGATAGTAATTTTAAAGGATAGTAGGCGGAGGCGATGACAAACAATCCCGCTCTGTGCAGGTGTGGAGGCGTCCCGCGACGAGCCGGACGCGATGGCGGAGTGGTCGCGCACGCCGCGCATACCGGAGGAGCCGGACTGTTGCGACGTGTCACGGGACTTCGTCAGGTAAAGAAGCGTCCAGTAGGCCTAAGATGCGCCCCGTGATAACTTTTATCGACGTCAAAGCCTACAGTAGGCCTAAGATGCACGCCGCGATAAGCGGTTATCACGCCATTTTATCGATTTTGCCCATACGTTTTGACAAAAGTTTCGATAAAAGTTAGCATCTTAGGCCTACAGATGTCCTTGAGGAGTTGCACGCTTAGCGGAAATACTGTCCTAAATTGTTGCAATAAGAGGGTAAATCCAATGATAAGTCATCATTGTCAATCCCAAGATCCAGGGTAGGTAATCCTTACCATGCTTTGGATATTTATGTAGAACTACAGTTAATGAAGCATAGTTCATGAACAGACATTTTCTAAAAAAAAAAACAGGAAGTTGAATACCCAATTAGTTCTAAAAATAACTTTTAGTAGCTTTAATTTTCATTTGTATTAATAAATAGTAAGTTAATGAGGAGTATCGTTCTGCGTTTACCAGTTGTTGCAGGACTACAGTAGCGCCACTCTAGTGAGTGCAATAATACGATAGTCCTACCGCTTTAGAGATTTCCATTTGGCGCCACTGTCTTCGTCAGTAGCAAATGACAGTGACCTTACAGTGGCGCCATCTGGTGAGGCAGCCTTAATGGACTGGCGGTGTCAAGTACACTATTATAGTCTATCCAATATAGCTTGATTAGAATGACGGCTGTCAAACGAATGTGACTAGTGATGGGTACGTTTCGTACGGTTCACATAGATGTATCGATAAGTTTTCGAAAAAATGATATGAAAAAATGCACCCAATTTTTCTTCATATATCTTTATTCATAAAAATGACAATTATGATTTAAATTTAAAGACAGTAAAATTTAAAATTCATGTCAAGGGTGTACAACCTAAGTCGTAGTCATTATCATCAGTGTTCTTCAGTGGTTTTTTCCTCTCGCTAGAGGGCGGTGGGCATCTCTTCTAGAGCAACGGTGCTATGAATACCCAAAAAATTACCGGTGATTGATTTCCGATGTTTGATTATTTAAGAATGAAATGTTTTTTGGTTTTTAATAGTGAACATTTAGAAAAACGTATAACTTGACTTAAATATGTTAAAAAATTAGTTAGAAAAAAAAATTGTTAAATATGTTTAAAAAATAGTTTTAATTTAATATGACATTTGTCGATATGTCCCAACACTAACATTTTTGTAACTCGAGATAACCTTGTAGAGACGTCGTTAATACTCTAGCTTGATTTTTATAATTTCGAATTACTGCTTATTGGTGTAATTTAACGCTGCATTTACACGAAATTATTATTTTTATTGGAAGCACTGTCGTCGAAAATATTGTTTGTAGGTCAGACGTGAATTATTTCTTGTCCGCCAATATTTAGCTCTCATTGATCGCTACTACAAAGTTATGTCGTTACTTTTGATGACAGCTGTCATTCTAATCAAGCTATGTTGGATAGACTATAATTAGTTTCTGTCGTTGTAAGGCAGGGTACTCACCTGTCATGTAGCACGTAACGTAGCATGTAACGTAACCAACCTTCAAGTGAGTATGGCTCGTCCACGGTCACCGCGTATCTGGCTGCGAGCTTCTGAATCCTACTGCGAGCCGCCTTTGTGCTCGCAGTGATACCGCCACTCGGCGGGTCGCTGCTATCTCCCTGCGAACCACGCGCGAGCAGCTCGCAGCGGGCTTGTGCCTATGTACTCACTTGATACAGTATCTGATACATTACATGCTACACGGCTAGATGAGTACTCTGCATAACAAGTCTTTCTTCCGCAGTTCGGGCGGGCGGGTAGGCGGCGCGCTGCCGGCGGGCGCGTCTGTCCACCACTCGCGCACGTCCTCCTTCGGCGCCGAGGACTCGGTCCCCGACGGGTACCTGCCCATGGCGCCCGGCCACGAGCCGCTGCCCGCGCTCGTGTCCGCTTCAAGCGGCTCCGTGTGCAGCGGGACGCCGTCCACTGACCCTAGGTTTAGGTGAGAGACAGTTGCTTAGATCCTTTGTACTCACACGCACTCGCGCACGTCCTCCTTCGGCGCCGAGGATTCGATTCCCGACGGGTACCTGCCCATGGCGCCCGGCCACGAGCCGCTGCCCGCGCTCGTGTCTGCTTCAAGCGGCTCCGTGTGCAGCGGGACGCCGTCCACTGACCCTAGGTTTAGGTGAGAGACAGTTGCTTAGATCCTTTGTACTCACACGCACTCGCGCACGTCCTTCGGCGCCGAGGACTCTGTCCCCGACGGGTACCTGCCCATGGCGCCCGGCCACGAGCCGCTGCCCGCGCTCGTGTCTGCTTCAAGCGGCTCCGTGTGCAGCGGGACGCCGTCTACTGACCCTAGGTTTAGGTGAGAGACAGTTGCTTAGATCTTTTGTACTCACTAACATTTTTTAGCTTTTAGCTCAGGCTCGCCATATAAGGACAGCTTGAAGCAGTTAGTATCGACAGCTTCAAGCTGCGATTACACAGTATTCTACATATCGTCGTTCATATTGCAATTTGTTCAATGACAAAAAAATTAAAAAAATTCTAACAAAATATAACTGCTTAGGAAACATTAGTTAAAAACATTTTGGTATCTTAAAAGATTTTTTCCCGCACGCTGTTCTGTTTTTTTACTCTTCTGTAAACTTGTAATTTTTGACATAGAACAAATTGCAATATGAACGACGATATATGGAACTGATTGAGCAGTTGTGACTGTTTATAGCGATTAGCAGCACGAATATTTTATCGTACGGTCCCCAGGCATGCACTAACTGCTCAAGCTGTCGACTGCTCTCGCGCAGTTTCATGCGCACGCGCTTTTCATTTAAAAACGCGCGCGCTTGACTTGTTGAGCAGTTAATTTAATAATAATTGCTCCAGCAGTCATTAATGGCAGCTTCAAGCTGTTGTTAATGCCTTTTTCGGATTTCGGTACCAGCATTTCTTTATTTGAAAGAAAGAAAGTTTTTTTTTATTTGGTCCAAAACAATTTTACAATTTTACAGTTCAAAGTATTTGTACATGTTTGAACCAAAATGGCATCCGCTCAGCATTGTGTCCTGCTCTGTGACCCCAGAACAGGACGCTGTTATTCTGCGTATATTTCGTACACGTTTTTCCTATTACGCGGGCCTTGCCCGTCATTGCATGCCCGTCAATAAAATTTGTTATCTATCTTCCAGTGAATACCAGCTGGAGCCGGCGATGTCGCACATAGTAGAAGGCGAGCGGCCGCCGCGCGCGTGGAGCGTGGGCTCGCGGGCGGCGCTGGGCGGCGCGCCGGCGGCCCGCGAGCGGCACCGCGCCTACAGCGTCGGCGCGCGCTGCCGGCCCGCGCACCACCACCCGCCGCACCCCAAGGTATCTTATCTTCGTCGTTTCAGCCGAAAGACGTCCACTGCTGGACAAAGGCCTCCCCCAAGGATTTCCACAAAGACCGGTCCTGCGCCGCTCGCATCCAGGTACTTCCCGCGACCTTCACCAGATCGTCGGTCCACCTAGTGGGAGGCCTGCCCACGCTACGTCTTCCAGCTCGTGGTCGCCACTCAAGAACTTTCCTGCCCCAGCGGCCATCAGCTCCTTGAGCTATGTGCCCCGCCCACTGCCACTTGATTTTAGCGATTCTGCGGGCTATGTCAGTCACTCTGGTTCTCCTACGGATCTCCTCATTTCTGATTCAATCACGCAGGGAAACTCCGAGCATAGCACGCTCCATCGCTCTTTGGGTGACCTTGAGCCTTCTTATGAGGCCCATAGTAAGCGACCACGTCTCAGAGCACGTATCTTATTTTATCTTATTTAGGGCCGCGCATGAGCGCAGTGCACTTCGACCCATTGGGATCTTTTGTTTTCCGGAAAGATCCTATCCATATAGTGGATCAAGAGCTTGGGTGAGAAGGACCTATATTCTTCTGGTGTCGGATAAGCCGACCCCAGGAGACCCATTCTAGTTCTAGCTAGCGCGTCACATTCGCACAGTAGGTGTTTCATGGACTCCGCATGTTCTCCACATGCTCGACAGCTGTCATCCGTAGTTAGGCCCATTTTGTGGAGCATGTGGTTTGTAGTGTAGTGTCCTGGCAAGGTAACCAGGCGGCTGTACCGGCCGACACCAGGCGGGCTCGCGGCGAGCGGCACCGCGCCTGCAGCGTGGGCACCACCACCCGCCGCACCCCAACCAGGTTCACGGTAACCAGGCTCACGTAACGGGGTGAATACGCATCCCAAGATACGCTCTTACGCAGCTATCATATTGAGGCAAATCAAACACATTCCAAAGTACGTTCCTGCGCAGTGAATTCCAACCCCAGTCAGATGTACTCAAACTCTAAAATAAAGGGACCGTTCATCTCCTGTGTGGCCAGGATCAGCTTGACAGCCAATAAACACCCAAACAATTCGTCCTGCGGGAGTTAAACTGTCATTGCACATGCAACGAAATCTATCAGAACATAGAAAACAAAAGCCCAAATCCCGGGTCAAAGAACTCAAGGATCGATTTTTCTCTAGTGCAAAACAAATCCAAGAACGATATAATATCACCCATCCCAAGATCAGTGAATGGTATCAGTAAATTATTACTGCTGCTGGAGGAACACTACGTGATTTCGTTATGACTTCTATTGCGGTTTTTTATTGTGCCTAACTTGACATTGTGTTTTCTTTGTATGTTGTAAATTAAATCATGTCTACATTCTTGTAAAACTCTTATGTTATTTGTACAGGCACCATCATCTGCTCCACTACTACCGAGAGCATCTGCTGAAGACCTAATGGAGCTGGACTTCTCAGCTAACTCGCCACAAGCCAAGGTAATGAAATTATTTTATCTTTTGCAGTTTACACTACTAGGACGTTAACAAAGTTACCGATCAAATTAGAGGCGTGAGGAAGCGCTTCAATGGCGCTACTAGCGCTTTTCGCACCACTGCTAGTTTTCATACAATTTGTAAAAGCGCAGTCACAGCACCATTCCCATTTAGGACTGTCGCGGTAGTTGCGATGCAACTGCGCTTCCTCGCACCTCTTAATTTGAAGGCGCTCTTATTCGTTTTTTACACCATCAAGACCGTGCAATTAAATCAACTTTTTCTCTTCTATCCAGGTGATAGTGTCTCGAACACCACCGACGGGCGGCTTCGAGGCGCGGCGGCCGAATGTAGACGAGTACGTCGACATGTCTCCGCGCAACGCCGCGCTGCTCCCGCGCCGCTCGCCGCCCGCGCCCGCGCAGGCCCCGCCCGTGCCTGATGGATATGTGGAGATGAACTACACGCGGGCACCTACCAGGCCCATAGCTATTACTGCGGTCCGCCCGCCGCAACCTACCACGCCGGTAAGTGTTGCTAGTGCCTGTGTGTAATATTGGATGTGTAAGGGGTCATGTCCTCGCGTAACGCTGCCCGCGCCCGCGCAGGCCCCGCCTGTTCCCGATGGATATGTGGAGATGAACTACACGCGGGCGCCTACCAGGCCTATAGCCATTACTGCGGTCCGCCCGCCGCAACCTACCTCGCCGGTGAGTGTCTGTTTAATATTGGACAAGAACGGGGTCATATCGCCGCGCTGCTGCCGCGTTGCTCATCGCCCGCGCCCGTGCCAAACGGCTACGTGGATATGAACTACACGCGGGCACCTACTAGACCGATAGCCATTTCTGTCGCGCGTTCGCATCGAAACAGTAGCAATGTGATCGCTATCTGTGTGCCCTCGCCCACATAAACGCGCTTCTGTCGCGATGCAAACGCAATACTGACGCGATGCAAACGCAATACTGTAGCGATTCAAAAACGCGGCACAAAATTACCATGCGATCGCTCCATCCTCTCTCCGCTCTCTCCCCCATGTCGTCCGTTTGTGCGTTTGTAACGATACAGTTGCGATGCTGTAGGGCGTTGCAAATGCGACTAACGCGCGTTAGTAGCGATGCTGTCGCTCGCTTACGAAACGCGCATCACTACAAAAAGTGGCTGTGGGCGAGGGCCTTTTTTTACCCGTACCCGCGGCGGTTGTGGAATTGCGGTTTTAAATTAAAATTCACGGGAGTGGTTATTCTAAGACTGACGGCGCGATTTTTAAGTCACTGGTACAAAATGGACGCCCGCCGATCGGGCGGTTTTCGCGCGGGCGAATCTGCATTCTACAGAAGCTGCGGGCCCGCAACCGCCGCGGGCGCGGGTGAAAATCGCGCCGTGAGTTCTTAGCCTAAGATATGTAATACTTTTCATTATACTAATACCAATCTGTATGTGCAGGTGATGCCGGCGCCGCCGCTGGTGTCGCCGCCGCGCCGCAAGGAGACACGCACGCCGCTGGGCTCGCAGACCATCTTCCCGCTGTCGCTGGACTCGCCCGCCTCGCCGCCCGACCTCGACGACCTCAAGGGTGAGTGGCTCCACACTCGATGGACCGACGACCGTCGCGCTGGACACATGTCGCCGCCGCGGGGCTCGCAGACCATCTTCCCGCTGTCGCTGGACTCGCCCGCCTCGCCGCCCGACCTCGACGACCTCAAGGGTGAGTGGCTCCACACTCGATGGACCGACGACCGTCGCGCTGGACACATGTCGCCGCCGCGGGGCTCGCAGACCATCTTCCCGCTGTCGCTGGACTCGCCCGCCTCGCCGCCCGACCTCGACGACCTCAAGGGTGAGTGGCTCCACACTCGACGGACCGACGACCGTCGCTGGACACATGTCGCCGCCGCGGGGCTCGCAGACCATCTTCCCGCTGTCGCTGGACTCGCCCGCCTCGCCGCCCGACCTCGACGACCTCAAGGGTGAGTGGCTCCACACTCGACGGACCGACGACCGTCGCTGGACACATGTCGCCGCCGCGGGGCTCGCAGACCATCTTCCCGCTGTCGCTGGACTCGCCCGCCTCGCCGCCCGACCTCGACGACCTCAAGGGTGAGTGGCTCCACACTCGACGGACCGACGACCGTTTTCAGTTGTATCATTTCAGGTGATGTATAATCAAGCAGGAAATATTAGCATTGTCTTTCGGTTAACTTAACTGGCACAAGTGCTAGAATTGGTAACGCCCAAGTTTTTTTTTTTCAATTCTTCACAGTCGTTACACTCTTGACAAAATGGTCATGATCGTCAGGAGTATGATTTGTTGTGGGCAGATGTCGCTCATCATCATATAATTTCTAGTAGCACAGTTGCTGCGCCACTACCGTTTGTTCTTGTCACGTAAGAGGCGCTGCAAAATTTTATGAAAATTAGCAGTGGCGCCAATGCAGCGCTTCCTCACGCCCCTTAGGATATCTCCTCATCTTTTTGATTAAAGATTAAAAGATTAGCCTTATGATGTTTCGATTTCTTTCTTTTCGGTGGTCTACTCAACCCCTTTCAATGCTCATGGTGAATTTGTTTTAGACGAGCCGCACCCGCTGACGACGGTTCGCGAGATCTCGGAGGAGGCCCGCGAGCGCCGCAGCCCCGCCGCCGCCTCGCCGCAGTACGTGCGGCTGGCGCCCACGCTGCCGCCGCTCTGCAGAGGTACCATCATCATCATCATCATCATCATTCAACCATAGGACGTCCATAGACACAGGCCTCCCCCAATGCTTTCCATGTTTGTCTTTTGGTAGCGGCTTGCAGAGGTACGCAAGAGGTACCATCATCATCATCATTTCAGCCGTAGGACGTCCATAGACATAGGCCTCCCCCAATGCTTTCCATGTTTGTCTTTTGGTAGCGGCTTGCAGAGGTACGCAAGAGGTACCATCATCATCATCATTTCAGCTATAGGACGTCCATAGACATAGGCCTCCCCCAATGCTTTCCATGTTTGTCTTTTGGTAGCGGCTTGCAGAGGTACGCAAGAGGTACCATCATCATCATCATTTCAGCTATAGGACGTCCACTGCTGGACAAAGGCCTCCCCCAATGCTTTCCATGTTGATCGATTGGTAGCGGCCTGCAGAGGTACGCCAGAGGTACCATCATCATCATCATTTCAGCTATAGGACGTCCACTGCTGGACATAGGCCTCCCCCAAATGCGTTCCATGTTGATCGACTGGTAGCGACCTGCAGAGGTACGCAAGAGGTACCATCATCATCATCATTTCAGCCATAGGACGTCCACTGCTGGACGTAGGCCTCCCCCAATGCTTTCCATGTTGATCGACTGGTAGCGGCCTGCAGAGGTACGCAAGAGGTACCATCATCATCATCATTTCAGCCATAGGACGTCCACTGCTGGACAAAGGCCTCCCCCAATGCTTTCCATGTTGATCGATTGGTAGCGGCCTGCAGAGGTACGCAAGAGGTACCATCATCATCATCATTTCAGCCATAGGACGTCCACTGCTGGACAAAGGCCTCCCCCAATGCTTTCCATGTTGATCGGTTGGTAGCGGCCTGCAGAGGTACGCAAGAGGTACCATCATCATCATCATTTCAGCCATAGGACGTCCACTGCTGGACAAAGGCCTCCCCCAATGCTTTCCATGTTGATCGGTTGGTAGCGGCCTGCAGAGGTACGCAAGAGGTACCATCATCATCATCATTTCAGCCATAGGACGTCCACTGCTGGACAAAGGCCTCCCCCAATGCTTTCCATGTTGATCGGTTGGTAGCGGCCTGCAGAGGTACGCAAGAGGTACCATCATCATCATCATTTCAGCCATAGGACGTCCACTGCTGGACAAAGGCCTCCCCCAATGCTTTCCATGTTGATCGGTTGGTAGCGGCCTGCAGAGGTACGCAAGAGGTACCATCATCATCATCATTTCAGCCATAGGACGTCCACTGCTGGACAAAGGCCTCCCCCAATGCTTTCCATGTTGATCGGTTGGTAGCGGCCTGCAGAGGTACGCAAGAGGTACCATCATCATCATCATTTCAGCCATAGGACGTCCACTGCTGGACAAAGGCCTCCCCCAATGCTTTCCATGTTGATCGGTTGGTAGCGGCCTGCAGAGGTACGCAAGAGGTACCATCATCATCATCATTTCAGCCATAGGACGTCCACTGCTGGACAAAGGCCTCCCCCAATGCTTTCCATGTTGATCGGTTGGTAGCGGCCTGCAGAGGTACGCAAGAGGTACCATCATCATCATCATTTCAGCCATAGGACGTCCACTGCTGGACAAAGGCCTCCCCCAATGCTTTCCATGTTGATCGGTTGGTAGCGGCCTGCAGAGGTACGCAAGAGGTACCATCATCATCATCATTTCAGCCATAGGACGTCCACTGCTGGACATAGGCCTCCCCTAATGCTTTCCATGTTGGTCTTTTGGTAGCGGCCTGCAGAGGTACGCAGGAGGTACCATCATCATCATCATTTCGGCCATAGGACGTCCACTGCTGGACATAGGCCTCCCCCAATGCGTTCAATGTTGATCGACTGGTAGCGGCCTGCAGAGGTACGCAAGAGGTACCATCATCATCATCATTTCAGCCATAGGACGTCTACTGCTGGACAAAGGCCTCCCCCAATGCTTTCCATGTTGGTCTTTTGGTAGCGGCTTGCAGATGTACGCACGCTACTATTGCACTATGATGTTCGTGGTGTGCTGCTACTGGTCATCATCAAGCCATTTAGTTATCACTGTAGGAGCATAACCCTCTAATGTACCAGAGGTGATGGAAGGTTTGGCCTACGCTCTCCTCGCTGGTCAGACAGATTGGACTCCTCTCTGATCTGATATACAGGGTGAAGTTTTGTAATGCCACCTGGAGGGAAAGTACTCTTAATATTGTAGATAGAATTTTTGTCTCAAAGAAAACATTCCTTTATTTTTGAAAAGAAAAAGAACTGCATTCAAATATTTTCGAAAATTTTTCGAGAATTCACTACCATAGCATACAATTTTCTGTACATAATACCTACTATTTCTTTTAAAAAATAAAGGAATGTTTTCTTTCAGTAAAATTTTCTATGTACAGTATTAAGAGTACTTTCCCTCTAGGTGGCATTACAAAATTCCACCCTGTATTATGATATTATCACGAATTGTTAAGTTTTCGTAGGTGAGCTTTTAGTCTCATCTATTAATAATACATATATGCTGTTTGTTTTCAATAAAATAAATAAATAAAATAGTTTTTAGTCATGAAAATTTCTATGGTATCATCAGTTTTTGAACACCATTAGTACGAGAGCGACCAATATCTTCATACAACGTGTGTCTTACGCGATTATATCAACAATCACTTGAAATTTTCACGTGGCGTTGCATGGTAACCATATTTAATTTTGTCGTTCACTTGGGTTAATGGGTCACTGACCCAAGATCAGGGGTGGCCAACTTGATTAGACATAAGATCTATTGTTTACTAACAAAACCCTGGGCGATCTGTCGCTTACATATTTCTTGAAATTTATGAATCAGCATAGTTTAGTGCACAATCATGTAGTATTTTTTGCCTTGCCACGATCGATTGGACTAACATTGGACCGGTTGGCCACCACTGGTATACAGAGTGTTAGGTAAATGGGTATATGAGCCGACACTAGCCCATGTTAACATGCATATAAATGGTATAATGAAGTCAGAAAATTGATATCTTCATTTTAATTATTTTAATTTTCATACAAATCGGATTTTATAAAATTTATTTTGTATGAAAATTAAAATGATGATATCAAATTTCTGAGTTCACCATACCATTTATATGCCCACGTTAACATGGGCTAGTGTCGGCTCATATACCCATTTACCTAACACCCTGTAGATAGATAGGCTACAATAGTTGTGTGTTGCATTCTAGCGGCGGACGCGAACAGCACAGCGACGGTAGTGGTTGCAGGCGTGGGCGGGGCGGCGCCGGCTCGCTTCAGCGTGGCCACGCCCCCCGCCACGCCGCCGCCCACGCCCACCGCGCCCGCGCCCGCGCCGCTGCACTACGCCGCGCTCGACCTGCAGCCGCGCCGCGCGCCGCAGCCGCGACCGCCGCGCACCTACACGCAGATCGACTTCGTGCGCAGCGAGAAGCTGCACGCCGCCGACGCCACATAGGCCGCCTTTTATACTGCCATCCGCTGGCATCTTCGACGAATAAACCACTGGACACGAAACCTACAAGATTTCTAAGGAAACACGATCAACCACTTTTTGCGGGGGGAGAGGTTTGACAATTGTCAAATAATGACATTTAGTGCTGGGAAAAGATCGTAAATTTTTATCGATAGTTATGTAAATGAATGAATGAATGAACCTAACGAGATAAATGAATTATGGATTGATTTAATATTGAAAGTTTCTTTAATTGAAAGACTATAATTAATTATTGTATCGTGTTTATTATAATGCCATTGGTAAATCATAGGTACAAATAATATTACAAATTATTCATATAGGTAGGTAACTAGGTGAAATATTTTTTGGCTGTGTTATCATTATCAAATTCGTAAAGCAATAAACAAGTAATATTCTGTTCCGATCGACTGCTAACTAGCTTTTGGTCTCAACAAATGTTATAATCTGTCTCACGTCACGGACAAAAGTTTCATCAATAGCCTATTTCTATACATTTCATGAAACACAATTTGATAACATTATGACAGTGTATTGCTTTGTAGCGCTTGCAGTACGGATGCACTATCTGAGAATATTTAATTCTTATCTAATGTTGTTGATATTCTTATGTTTAGGTCATTCGAGAAGACCTCCTAGTACTTATTTCAGTTTTGAAGACGTCGGTATATCCTAACTTCATTGATTCCAGAGCAATTTCGCGTTTCCGCTGTAAGCTGGATATTATCTTTGGTCAGTATGACATGTATACCTCTAAACTCAGTCTGAACTGAGTTACGAGCATCAGAAGTTTGATGATTTTCATACTAGATTTGCTGTTTGGGCGCAAATTTTGTAAGAAATTGCAACAAAATAATGACATTTTATGTGTAAACAAACAATACCATCCATTAAAGACTCCAGACATCAGTATGCAGCAGAATCAGCGCAATAAAAAAATAGCGCAATATTTTGTTGCAATTTCTTACAAAACTTGCGCGCAAAAAGCAAATCTAGTATGAAAATAATTAAACTTCTAATGCTCGTAACTCAGTTCAGACTGAGTTTAGAGGTATACATGCCATAGTAAGTTTGGTTTAAAACACTATTTTGAAATCAAAAAACAAAGTTTGGTCGATGGCCGCGCGAAAAAAAAAAGACGCCACCTTCCATACAAAATCTGGCATTGCCATTTCAAACATATGTAGTGATTCCAAGTGTTCACGTACGAAACGCAGGTGCGGTCTAACTAGCGGACGAGCTAGCGACTGGTGCGCGCGGAGCGCTCGCGGTAATTTCAACGCGTGAAGATGTTTGTGTGTGTTCATGACGCGACGTCAGGTAAGTTCAACGAGTTTGAACTTGTCGCTAGAAACGATAGTACGTCACACTCGCGCGAACGCCTGGTGGTTAATGTGAACACGAGCTCGCAACGTTTCCCGCGCCCGCCCACGCCCACCGCGCCCGCGAGTCAACGTGAACTTACATAAGGCGTCGAAAGCGCTACAGCACACCGACGTTTTCATATGGACGGGCATCCGCCGTCATATAGTGTGAAATTATCGGCGCCGCATCTATATCGCTGCTTGAGTCGCCTAAATGTGAAAGCTACATCTACGCCCCCGCTCGCTTGGCTGAATCGAGTTTCAACTCGCTAGCGATAACCGCGCGGTCGAGTTTGCGATGTGACGCAGTGAGTGCAGTGGAAAAGTGATACGAGTGACTCGGAACGATGCGCGAATCGAGTGTATGCTGTCCAAAAGTAACATTTATATTTGACTTGTTGCGATCGACAAACACCATAAGGTGATCGTCGTATAAAATTCAACAGATAATTCAAACGGCTGTACGTTGTTTGAAATTGAAAACGAGCAGCAAACTCGTTCGCGCATTTAGGGAATTAGTGAATGACGTTTACGAACGTTCCGCACGAACGTGAAGCGGTGCAGTTTGCGGGAATCGAGTGACATGATGATACTCGGTTCCCGGGCGAGACTCGTGACGTCGTGATCTGTGATTCAGCTGTGACAGTGACGTCAGCGAGAAACAGTCGAGTACTCATCGGCGAAGGACAGAACTTGACAGTGCGAGGGACCGATGTTCGATGTATGGAACGGTCGGGTACTTTAGTACAGAGCGGAGACTTCTTCATTTCTCAGATCGTGTTTTCTGCCTCTAAGACTCGATGTCGCTCGCTTCTGATTCTATAAGATAGTGATTATGTTTCGTTATTAATTTTATTAATTATTACTACAGTTTTATTATTATAAACGTTTATTGTTATTTGTGACTCGGGTCTACGATATACGTGTTTGTACAGCAAACTGATATTTTAAAAATAATTATAATGTGACATTAAGAGAATGAAATTATACTAAGTCTAACTCCAAAAATGTTTCTCTAAATGTAAATTAATTGCGTATTTTATCTTCATACTATTTTAACGTTGATTAAAGCGTTCGTTTATTAGGTCTACTTAGACTTTCTCAGATCTATCGATTGATTCACTTCTTGAATAACTCACTTGTACAGTCGCGAAATAATAGTGAAATGGATGTAAAAGAAAGTGCACGGGAGGTCCAAAGGATGTTCGCAAGCGACGTACCACGTAATATTAAACAATGCCACGGTTGTGAGAGAGGCCTAAAGCAGTGCACTCAGATTATCTTTATGTTCCCTAATAATATACTACCTATTGTGTTCTTAGGATACTCTGTTCACTAAAGAACTGTGCAATTTTTACCAGACATATAAAGTAATGAAGTTATTTCTACTCTGTTATTGTTTGTTGTCTACGCTCGCTGCGCGTCCGTGACTGCACTGACATGTTGTTACTTTTAGAGTTATTCATTTGAATTTACCTTGTTATACACCCTAGATATTTTGATTGCATTCTTGACGTTAATATGGACTCATGTTCATGTAAGCTGTTATTGACTTAATCAGATTAGAGTCTTTTGAGGGTTTATGTTTGTTATTTTGCTCAATATGTTAGTCACGGGCGGCCATCGATTACAAAGTAATCATTTGCAATTACGATACAAATGAGAATATTATGTATTTTTTATTTATTTCAAAATGATGACTTTTTAATCGGCCGCAACGAGTGGTGGACGTGGTCGCTCTGAGCGTGTTATTTAGAATTTAATCGTGTTGAAAATAGAAAGCATTTATCAGTGAAATTTTAAATTTATACTTTTGAATGTGTGATGTTCTGGAAAACACGCTTAGACGACATATTATTACGTACGTAAACTATGTGTTCATACATAAAATAAATCTGTTCATATTACATACATACTGTTTACATACCGAAATTATAAGAATATTAAACAAAAATGTTAACATTTAAAACACAGAGGTGGATATTATTATTTTATTTTTTATTTATGGTATTATTACAATGGTATAACGAACTTTTATGTTATAATTACGACGTTGAAGTTATTGTGTATTCATACGATTTGTTATATTATATGTTATACAATATCATGTAGAACAGACTTCATTTTTACAAAAAAATTAAAATACCTACTATTGTTGTTATCGAAAAAAAATAGTTCCGGAAATACATAGTACCTATTTGTTTATTTACATTGTGTAAGTGCAATTAAAATTGCGTAGATGCCTCTGATATTTACGGAGATTTTGTTTTAATTCAATATTAGAGACGTTCGCAGAAAATAAACAAAATGGATGTTACATTCCGACACTGAAGCGATTCGACTAGTCTCGTGTGTTCAAATACTTCCTAACATCAGTAATAGCTTAGTTTCATAGATAATGTGCTTATTTGCCGCGCTCGAAAATGTTAAATAAACGTAAGAAGTAATGGGACCTGTATTATTAATGCCTGACTGAGTCAACACCAAATTTTTATATTAAAAAAGTTATTTATTGTGAATCCCGCGTCAGCGCCGCGCGGCAGGGCAGGCGGCGTGCCCGCGGCCGGCGCACCCTCTGCCCTGCGGGTTATATTACGGTATCAAATAAAATTGTAAGCTTTAAAAGTATGCCAGACATTAAAAAAAACAGCACAATGGTTTTTTGTAATGAGTTGATAGTTCTAAATAGATGTATTGTGTAGATGTAACGTTTTGTGTTAGCGCAAAGTCAAGGGAAGCGGTCCCGGGGGATTCCCCGGACACAGCGAGGCGGGGAGGAGAGGACACTAAGATGTTTATGTCGTAGACATAATTTTTACTTTTGTTTCTTGTTAAAAGAAAAAGCCTTAAACTTCAGTTAGACCACTCTAACAGTTAGAGTATAGAATCCTTTTTATTTCTGTTGCAATAAGTTGTTTCGAACACGGGTAATCGAACCACCGTTATTGTTTCATCATTTTGTTATAATTATACTTTCTTATAGAAACACTGCATACTTTTTAACGTGTAGATTAAAACTCTCCTCTCCTGGTTGGAAGATATCAAGCCCAAAGTGAAGTAATTCTCAAGGTTGATGATTGTATAATCAAGCTTGCTGTTCACCAGGGTTATAATGACGAGAACGTGATCCAAGATGGGCGCTGAACCCAGGAAAAAACGTGACACCCAAATCATTATGGATAAGGAAAATTAAGATAAGTTGAGATTCGATTAACATAATGTTATCGTTGGAAAACACCTGGAATAAGTTTGCTAAATGTCTCCGATGCTTTCTTGTGTCTATCGCCCTAGTGAACAGCGAGCTTGGGAGCTGTCGCGGATCGCTGCCTCGCTCGAGTGCTGCCTGTCGGGAGGTTGTAATAGAAGTATCGCTTAGATCAAAGTTTTAGGAAAATTTTCTATCAAAATACCATTTTTGCAAAGCGAATATGGTATTAGCTAAATAAAGAAATACTTGAAGTACGACTTTCTAGGCAACACAAAAAGTTAAGTATACTTTATATGGAAAATTTCGAAATAACTAGGACATTGTCGTAGAAAAATACGAAACTAATTTGCAGTGTATGCAAAAAAATCTAGTGGAATGTACTGGTGTTTGGCTACAACTATTGCAACCTCCCTAGAGTAGCCTTTAGATAAGCCATTACGCAGATAGTGCCACCTCGCAATTAGTACCATGTTTAGTAATATAACTAATATAATATACTTTTACTTTTATTCCACATAGCGAAGGCGCGTTGAGTTCTACAATCAGCATCAAAAGTGGCACTTCCAAAGTATTCAAATTATATTACAGAAAATTAATTATAACTGCGTTTGGTAGAGTTCGTGACGATGTTATTGGGCAACGGCTGCTTGTGATGCTGACGGTACGAGCGCCGAGTAAGCATAGACGGGTACGGAATAAGAAATAGTCTTTATGGTTATTCTTAGTAAAACGTTGATAGAACCTCCTTTTAAAATATGCCTCGTTACAGTCAATTGTTATACAAATTATTTTATTTTTTTATACATAAAAATAGCACAAAAATATACTAATCGCCAACATAGCAAGGTCACAAAGCAGGTTTGCTTACACATTTGAGAGAATATACGAATATAGCATATTCTAAAAGGAGCTTTCGGCTTCATTTACATTGGTGAGACTTGTATTTTGCGACATCGAAAGCTAGTGTGAATGCGGCCTTATAAACGTATAATAAAATTGTATACAAGATACAAACTCCAACCAATGTGATGGCGAGAGTGGATTATTTAGGGAATCTATACTAGTCCGATTGCAAGTTAAACAGATTTTTGCATAAACATGTTCCTGTAAACGGCGTAAATAGTGGTTTAATAAGGTTAAATAAATAAGCTATGTAACATTTAGATCAGTTATTATGATATGAATAGGTATATCTAGTATGTACGGTCGAACTTGACACGCTATGCTGCGAGGGCTTACTGGACGCTGCTCGCCGTGTGCAAGCGAGTTCTCTTGGCGGTGCGCTGGCTGTACTGTGGGAATAGCACCAGAAACATTGTAAAATAACACCTTTTATAAGATGGATTAATTAATATTGATATTTTACTGAAATATGTATGTATTTCTGAAATTATACGTAGAGCATACAGCACTTGTGTAACGACGAATCGAAGGACTAATTTTTGTTTTTTACTTTTTCCAGTTGTCCCTTTTCAACTGGCAATGCGCGATTTAAAATGCGTTTAGATTATTTTTAGAATGTTCACCCAACTTGGGTACCTTCAAACTGTTTAATTAAGTTGTTTATAGCTAATGGATATAATCCTTCAGCCGTACGTTACCACTAGAGCTGAATGAGCTTGCACACGGCAGCGGGTGGCGAATTCGAATGTGTCGCCGAGGGGAGTTCTGTTGTGTTTGAGAAAAATTATATTTTTTTACAAATGGTGCTATTGTTTTGTGTTTTAGTCAATGATAGCTGATCGCTGTTATACTGCCATTGTAGATATGTGACGGAGACGCTCATATCACACGGTCGATCGACGTAGGAGTAGAACATCACCAACCCACAAATACGATAATTAGGTGTAGTTTAGCTTTTGTAACGCCCGCGCACGCGCCCCGCGCGCCACTTCGCCTGAAGGCGTTCCATTATTCAATTTCTAAATCTAATTTTTAGTAGGTTACATTTTGTTTACTTTCATATTACGATTATATTGTAAATAAAAATAAAAGCTTTGGATTTGCGCATTCGTTTGATTATTTCACTTCAAATGAAATCCCTCGTTTTAGAAATATCCTTTATTGTACACGATAACTTACATCATTAAATTCAACACTAGCGAAACACAACCACGCTTAAATGCATCAACGTTAATCCGGCTGTCAACATTGTTACAGCAAAACACCATACATACCATTCATAAACAAGGTAACACAATTTCAATTTTCATAGTAGAATAATTAATGAATTAAAACAAGTTTTGTAATAATAAACAGAGAGTACAGATTGTCTACATTAAGTACTCGTTAAAATGTAACCATTGGCATATAAAAATACTATTATTGAGATATAACTTGCTACCTATTTTAATTATAAAAATATTCAACTTATCAATTTGACACAAAACATTTTCTTCAAAAATTATGTTTATTTATATGTTTTCCAATGCACAAATCATTTCTGTATGATAGGTACCTATTTATTTTTATTACAAAATTCTTACAAATATGGAATACATAAGCCAATACAAACTTCAGTACGATATTCTAGTCCTAAACACGCGATACAATTTTCAGGACTAAGCCTAGGCGCAGACCACCGACTTTGAGTTGGCTGATGGCCCGATTCTAATTTGTATGAAGAATCGGCCGATACTAAATCGGTGTAATTTACGAGTATAAAAGCCGGTTGTCTGCGCCTGAGCTAACAGTTTAGCATCTGTTGTAATGTGTGTAACCTTATTACAACTAAGGTTGATGTGCCATATCCCGTACAAAAATATAAAATTACAACTTCAATGAGGACTGCATCTTGTGTTTGGTTATATTTGTGACAGTACAGCTGATATCAATTTTGATAGCATCGCCTATTACTTTGTACTAAATTTTGTTATCATGGCACTTTAATATACGCGAGAAAAAGCAAAGTGTGTAAAGATTTAATTACTTCGTTAAAAAAATCAAGCAATGTGTAAGTTCATTGATTTAAAATTAACAACAGGCCATTAGTTGAGTTACATTATTATTATTACTAAAATGTGTTGCCTCTTTATTATTAATTCTGATTTACAATGGTCTGTGCACAAATGGTCCAAGAGGTGGAGTCGTCTAAAAACAAATAAATTAAAATGATAAGACTATTTAATTCCAGTTAACAATACTATGATCATCATGGGTTTTGAGCATATTCTTATCAATACTCACTCAATTCACTTAGGCGGTGATCTACCATTGATAATTGTGGGGTAGTCTTTATACGACCTACCTTTCGGCTTTACTGTGGTGACCTTCTTTTTAACTACTCTCTTAACCACCACTTCTTCATCAGACAACAGTCTCTTTTTGGGCTTTATACGTTTCTCTTCTATGGTGAATGAGTCATCGAAAATGTCTCCACTTGAATTCACAGACTCATCGTCTTTGGATATCTTGAGGGGCTTTTTTTCGCCAATAATTTCACAAATCGGACTGTCAAACGACACTTGTCTGGGACTCCTTCTACATTTACCTCCCGAGGTCTGCGTCGCTATGTTAGCATGGTTCTTTTTGGCGGGTGGCGTCGCTTTCGGCGCAAGCTTTGCTTTTTTCATTTTGACCAAAAGAACTGGTTCCAAGGATTTCCTCTTTTTACTAACTACTTTAGCATCTGTGCTTTCATTAGGTTCTTCATTTTCAATTTCGGGACTTGATTCTTTTGCTTTTGGTTTTCTACCTCTTCTCACAACTTTTGGTGAAGACCCGTTTTGTTTGCCTTTCTTTGGAACAACTTCTTCTTCTGCAGAATCTGCATCTTCAGATGCATCCTCATCAGATTCAGTGTCTTTGCTAATTTCTTTTGCTTTTGGTTTCCTGCCTCGCTTAACTACTTTAGGTGCTACACCATTTGCTTTCTTTTTCTTACCAACATCACTATCTGTGGCATCTTCATCATCTAACAATTTCTTATTTGTTTTTCCCTTTTTGTTCGGTGAAAAATCCAGTTTGCTACTTCTGTTCTTCCCTTCACTCTTAAGATAGCCTTCGAAGAGTTGCCGACATTTTGTATAATCAGGTACGTCTTTTGGTTTCATTGTGTTTATGTATTCAAAGAATTTGATCAGAGCATCTGGAAGCAAAACAATGTAAATTATTTTTTTGGATTAATACTACTGATACAAGTAAAACATTAATAATGTGGTTAACTCACCAGGAACATTGCTGTACTGCTTTGTGATGTTACTCCGCACATTCTTTAAGAATGCCTCCTTCATGTCTTGCACTGTCTTTGGCACCTTGAGGGACTTTTCCCAAGGCAATTCTCCTACCAGCCACTGCAACATGTTGTAACCCAAGATTTCCAGGTCTCCTCTCATAGTTGCCACTGAAATAACACATGTAACAAAATAAATATCATTGAAAGAATAACCAGTCAAATCATAGAGCACTCCTAACAAATAATAACCAATTTGAATATAGATAGTTCTAGTAAATATTTTTATATTCACCTCCTTGATGAGCATCCCTGCTTGTATACTCAATAGTGCCATTATGTGCAGACTTAGGGTCAGGCTTGAAGTCTTTCTCATTAACTCGTGTGGCCAATCCGAAGTCAACAAGGTATGCTTGGTTCTCTGTGCCCTTCCGCAAGCCCATGAGAATGTTAGCTCCTTTGATGTCTGCATGCACATAGCCTCGACTGTGTATATATTCTAGAACTTCTAGCTACAAAAAAATGAGTTCAGAAATACACTAATCCTGTTCTATTGGTGTTATGTAAAAAGTACCTTTAAATGAATCGGCCAATATACCATACATACCATTTGCAAACCTAAAAGGAACACGGTAGCAGGAGGGAACGAGCGCCCGCTCTCCTTGAAGATGCTCCACACATCCTTGCCGTAGCGCTCCAACACTAAGTACCTGTACTTCTCGCCTTTGTACTCATGTGATCCATTTCCATAATATGATGGCATTCCTAAGCTACTCAGCTTTTTGGCCTTCATGTATTTAGATACTAAAAAATAATAATAATGTAAGATATTTTTCAATGTAATCAAAATAAGATTTAACCCAATAAACCCCAAGCAGATTGATTGATTGATTGATTGATTGATTCACCTCGCGCGAGTGCTAACGAACGCACGCAATATCAAAAGCTCCGTAAAATTTTGACGTTTAAAGCGGTAAAAATGTGATATTAAGGACTAAAACTTATATAAATGTGTTCCTTGTAAAAAACTGTGACGATACATCTAATTATTTAAATGAAAAAGAAGTGACTTATGTGTTTTAAAACGGTGCAAAGATATTATTTTGTACTAACAAACGATCAGCTGTGCCGGGTGAAGTGACTCATCGAGTGTTAGTGATCGAAAACATTACCAAATATGGTCACGCACGCACCGACTCGTAGCTGATGATTCATAACATCAGCTGATTGGTAACAACCATACCAAGTTTTCGGCGAACACGTCACAGAGGCCGTGGAGCAGTGGCTACGAATCTAAGCTTACGCTAGGAAGCGTGGGTTCGAATCTTGACTTTTGTGACTTTTTTATTTTTTAATTTTATTTTTTGATTTTGTTTTTTCTTTTTTTTCTTTTTGATATTCATGACATTTTGATAACAAAAACAATGTCTGGAAAGTGCGGAAAATGTAATAAACAACTACCTAAGAAACAATTTTTGACATGCTCGATATGTAATACGAACTATGATATAGATTGCGCTGGAGCAGAAAAACGATTTTTTATTATGAACGACGAACACAAAAGGCGGTGGAAATGTCTTCTTTGTCCAAAACCTTCCTCGAGCACTGCAATGATGGTCTCGACTCCCATCATGGACAAAGTTACACTGAGAAAGAAACAGACCGTAAACATAACAACAACTAACTCATTTGAATCGTTAGCTGAAACCTTATCGGATGATGAAGATGAGGATGACATGTATTCAAATACACAAGAGGAGAAATTAAATAGAAGCTGCCCGGAATTGTCATGTATTAGAGCAGAAGATTTGGACGAGGTGAAGGAAAAAATGTTAAGAATGCAAACGAAATTAGATATAGCTGAAAAAGAAATTGAAAAATTAGTAATAGAAAATTCGAATCTTTTGAAGGAACTAGCTGAAAAGGAAAGAAAGATAAATAACTTAAATCAAGTCTGTAACTCAAACCGAAAACCTCGAAAGAAACGAAAATCGAATCAATCTAAGTCAATGATTTCATTTGCGATCAATGAAAGTCTTGAAGGATTGAATATGGAATTACCGGAAAAACTTATCAAGGAAGCGTCAGCCAGTGAAGATGATGTATTGGTGAAAGAAAATAGTACTTTGCAATGCAAGAAAAGCATACATATTTTTGGAGACCAATATCTACGCGGATTTGCTATAAAATTGCTCGATTCCCGAAAAGGAAAATGGAATGACTTATACAAAATTTCAAGTTTAATCAAGCCGCAAGCAAGAAGCTGTGATATTCTACCAAGTTTAGACACATTGACAAGTAATATTGGAAGAGATGATATAGTCATCATATGTGTAGGCTCGAATGATAGAGACCCATATCTGCTTTACAGTAATTTATGTAATATATTATGCAAATTTCACTATTGTAAATGTTTTGTTATAAGTGTTAAATTCAACAAATATTTAAATACTAATAGATTGAATTATGAAATTGACATGCTCACGAAAAAATATAATAATTGTACATTTATTGACATTAAGAATGATTACTATGGTTTAAGCTCTTACTTACACATGCTTGCTTTTAAAATAAACATAGAGATAGACTTCCCTAGATACAAAAAGGAGTTCATTGATGTTCTATTTGAAAATAAAAATAAAGATTGCAGAAAAAACATAAATAAATATATTAAAACAACAAAACAGAAAACAATTACGCATTACTTTAAAAGAAACAATACATTAACAACAAAAAATACTACCGATGACATAAAAAAATCACAATATTTGCAGAACACTATTCTACACTATTTCCAAAAAATTAAACGATGCGATGGAAATAAGGTTAATAAATCAGTAGGACAAGCTAAATCAAACTTAGATGAATCACAAAATTTTTTCTCACAAGCAAAGGAGAATTTATTTTTAACATAATTCATCTAAATACACAAAGTATAAAATCAAAAATAGATCAACTAGAGATATTGTTGCATGAAAGACATATAGATGTTTGCTGCTTTAGTGAAACTTTTTTAGAATGCCATGAAATGGACATTCTTCAAATTGACGGATATAAAATCGCAGCTTATTTTTGTAGAAAACGTAAAAAAAGAGGAGGTGTTGCAATATATATAAAAAATACAATTGATTGTTCCGAAGTCAAGTGGATATCAGAGATGTCCATTGAATGCCATTTTGAATGCTGCGGTATCGTTATATCTGGATTTAACTACCTGATAATATGCGTATATAGGACTCCAAACAGTGATTTTGATATATTCCTAAGCAACATGGAGTATCTCTTGCAAAAGGTAATAATTAGATCCCGAAGTAGTTACAAAAATGTTTTCGTCTTAGGTGATTTTAATGTAAACATTCTTGAAAAGAGTAATAAAAGTGAATTGTTTTTAAATATGTTTAGGACTTATAAATTGCATCCAACAATTAAAGATCCAACCAGAATCACTTCTCATTCGCAGACCTGTATTGACAACATAATGACTAACATGAAAAAATATCATACACATATTCTGGATGTTGGTATATCGGATCATACAGGACAAATAATATCAATACCTTCATGCCTTAGTTTTAATGAGAAGTTTTGGTATATCTTAAAGAGACAACCAAGTTTTTATTTAGAAATATTTTTAAAATATTTATCGCAAATACACTTTACAAATGTTTATGCTCAATCTAATCCTAATAATGCATATAACATATTTATTAGTGAATTTTGTTTAATCTATAATTTGTGCGTACCGGTAAAGAAAATTAGAATGACATACAAAAGGACTCCAAACTGGAAAACCAAAGGCATAATAATAGCAAGTAAAACCAAAAGAAAATTATACTTGCAAAACAGATATACAAATAGTAATGCTGCCAAATTAAAATATAAAAGATATTGTAAAATAATGAAATCGGTAACAAGGAAATCAAAAAAGATTGCAAATACAAATTATATAAATAAAAGTACAAATAAGAGTAAAGCTACTTGGGAAATTATAAAACAAAATACTACTAAATTCAATCATATTAAAGAAACTATTGACTATATTAAAAAAGATGACATTTTAATTAACCAACCTAGTGACATAGCTGAAACCATTAATAATTACTTCATAAATTTAAATAATCCATTAGAGACTAAAAGTGACTTACAATATAAACCTATTACTCAACCAAACGCAAATAGTATTTTCATGTACCCAGTAAATACAGGGTGTTTGGCGCATCGTGTGCCAAAATGATTTGGCGGATAGAATGGGTCATTTCCTATATTTTCAGCCCCCATAACACGTTCCATGTCAGGCGGCTACTTTTATATTAAGTTTTTTAGTAATTTCACCAAAATACCCAAATCGCATCATTTGATTTCGATTTAAAAAAAAACTACTAAGCGTAGCCTCAAAGTAAATATTTTGTTTTGACGTGCATTGATATAGAGTTGCATCAAATCTAAATTTACTGGCAAATATCATCTAGTTTTTTTTTAATTCAGCTTTNGATTCCGATATTACGAGATTCCGAGATTCCGATATTCATGCCCTAATGTCCATTTAACGCCTAATCATTTCATACTACGGCCCTTGTTTGTCACAATTAATTGACACCAAGGCTACAGGCATTCTGTCAGTATTTATTTAATTTATTGAGGCATACCAATTATTATTAGTTTATTATTATTGAGTATTAAGCCTGGTTCCCACCAATACGGAGCGAAGGGGAGCAGAAAAGAAAAGTGTCGGGCCGTCAAATCTATACTAATATTATAAAGCTGAAGAGTTCGTTTGTTTGTTTACTTGAACGCGCTACTCTCAGGAACTACCGGTCCGATTTGAAAAATTATTTCAGTGTTAGATAGCCCATTTATCGAGGAAGGCTATAATACCATCACGCTACGAGTAATAGGTGCAGAGCAAAAATGATTTTCTCGCGTACGAAGTCGCGGGCACTGCTAGTTTTTCTATAGAATTTGAGAGCAGAAATAATGAAATCTGTATAGTTATTTAAAACACTTCTCCGCTCCACTCCGCTCTGCTCCGCCTTAGTGAAAATCGAAAGCGGGCCTTATCATTTCCTTTTATTGGTGCATCCATATCTAATCAATCTGCAATGTGACTGTGGAAATAATTATTCTGAAAATATTGCATTCGTTCAGTTCTTTAGGACACACCTTGTACTTTAATTATATGGGTTAGTTAATGGAAGCATTTCAGTCGTCCGGTTGAAAAAATTATGATGAGGAATCAAAGTTATTATTATAGATACATACACTAAGCCACTAGAAAGTTATTTTCGACTTTTAATTCAATCTCAAGAGAGCCTTAATAAATAAATACTCACTAAATATTTCACGGTGCTACGAGTATAATCGCAGCAGACATTGACACGGCAAATACATTAAACCAACGAGAAAAAAGAGTAATAAAAGTGAATTGTTTTTAAATATGTTTAGGACTTATAAATTGCATCCAACAATTAAAGATCCAACCAGAATCACATCTCATTCGCAGACCTGTATTGACAACATAATGACTAACATGAAAAAATATCATACACATATTCTGGATGTTGGTATATCGGATCATACAGGACAAATAATATCAATACCTTCATGCCTTAGTTTTAATAAGAAGTTTTGGTATATCTTAAAGAGACAACCAAGCTCTTATTTAGAAATATTTTTAAAATATTTATCGCGAATTCTCTTTACAAATGTTTATGCTCAATCTAATCCTAATAATGCATATAACCTATTTATTAGTGAATTTTGTTTAATCTATAATTTGTGCGTACCGGTAAAAAAAATTAGAATGACTTACAAAAGGACTCCAAACTGGAAAACCAAAGGCATAATAATAGCAAGTAAAACCCATTGAGTTATAATGTACTACGTAATATTACTTCAATGGTAAAACCAAAAGAAAATTATACTTGCAAAACAGATATACAAATAGTAATGCTGCCAAATTAAAATATAAAAGATATTGTAAAATAATGAAATCGGTAACAAGGAAATCAAAAAAGATTGCAAATACAAATTATATAAATAAAAGTACAAATAAGAGTAAAGCTACTTGGGAAATTATAAAACAAAATACCACTAAATTCAATCATATTAAAGAAACTATTGACTATATAAAAAAAGATGACATTTTAATTAACCAACCTAGTGACATAGCTGAAACCATTAATAATTACTTCATAAATTTAAATAATCCATTAGAGACTAAAAGTGACTTACAATATAAACCTATTACCCAACCAAACGCAAATAGTATTTTCATGTACCCAGTAAATATAACAGAATTTAAAAAAGTTATAAAAGACTTAAATAACAAAAAAAGCACAGGCTATGATGGAATTCCGATAGCCGTGATAAAGTCATGTGTAGATTATATAGCTGAACCGTTAATATATATTATAAATTTGACTTTAGAGACCGGAATATTTCCTGACGACTTAAAAAAAGGACTAATAAAACCATTACATAAAAAGGTGCCAAAAATGATGTAGGAAATTACAGACCGATTACTTTGTTGTTGCTTTTCAAAAANTTGTCAAATTTTTCCAAAATTTTTGAAAAGCTTATAGCAAATCGAATGACATCATTTCTTGATAAATATGAAATATTAAACACAAATCAATTTGGATTCCGGAAAGGGAAAAACACGACATTAGCTATATTCAAAATTCTCAAACAAGTCTGGACTGATCTAAATGACAAAAAAAGTTGCATCGGCCTTTTTTTGGACTTATCTAAAGCTTTTGACTGTGTGGTACACAGGGTGCTTCTAAAGCAACTTGAACATGTAGGACTACGTGGTATTGCCCTAAAATTAATGGAATCATATTTGACAAATAGAATGCAGTCCACGATATTGGATACATATGACAAAAAAACGAAAAGTATATTAACAGTGCAATCCAATTACGATAAAGTATCCATTGGTGTACCGCAGGGCAGTGTACTGGGGCCTTTATTATTTTTAATCTACATCAATGAACTTCCCCTGATTATAAATCATTCCTGTGTCATGTTTGCGGATGATGCTACATTGTTTATGTCACAAGACCGAGCAAAAAATGACGAACTTGTTGGTGAAATTCATAACACACTAAACATTGTTATTGACTGGTTAAAATCTATAAATTTAAATGTAAATCTAGAGAAAACCAAATTATTAGAATTTAGAAATTATAAAAATGATCCACTAGAAATAAGTATTAAAATTGACAATAAATTAATAGAAAAAGTGCCTGACATAAAATTCTTAGGTTTAAATATAGATACTCATATGAACTGGAAGGCACATATCGAGACAATAAATAAAAAATTGTCAAGTGGTTGCTATGCCTTGTCGATTTTAAGCAGTATTTCCTCAGAAAATGTAACTAAGAACGCATACTATGGGTACATATATCCTCTATTGACATATGGCATAATATTCTGGGGCAACTCTGTTAATGTTCAATCGACATTTATACTTCAAAAGAAATGCCTTCGCGTAATGTACCACATTGACAAATATGAAACTTTGAGAAATGTATTTAAAGATTATAAATTTCTGACTTTGACGGGTATCTATATACTTGAAACATGTGTATTTGTAAAGAATAATAAGGATCATTTCTGTGAAAAAAGTAAAATTAAAAAGAATCTTAGATCTCAACATGCTTATAACATTTGTATTTTGAAATCATCAAGTTATATTTATAGCAAGAGTACCTTGATTACAGGAACTCGAGTGTTTAACCATTTGCCTAACTGTATAAAAGCACTAGAAAACCCGCAATTCAAACAGAAATTGAAAGAATGGTTGTTGCAGAAATGTTTTTATAACCTAGATGAATATTTTAATAACTTTTGACATAATATTATTTATTGACATTTGTTTTTTATTATTATTTTAAATTTTCTTATGACCAGTAACAAATATCTATATATATAAAAGAAAGTCGTGTTAGTTACTTCGCTTATAACTCAAGAACGGCTGAACCGATTTAGCTGAAAATTGTCAGGGAGGTAGTTTAGAGCCAGGAGAAGGACATAGGATACTTTTTATCCCGTTCGAAATTAAAAAAAAGTCTGCTTATTTATTGCCATTAAGGCGGAACAAAGTTCGCCGGGTCTGCTAGTTAATTATAATTATCTATTATGTATTGATTGATGGGCTTGAAAGTATGGATACTCACTTTCTTCACTGCTTGCATTTCTGACATAAAAATGTTTTTCAACAAATAAAGGCCCATTTTCATGTGGTTCCTGCGAACATTCATGACAGATTTATAAATACAGATGCCAGTATGTCAAGCGAAACACTGTGGCATCTTATGTAGTTTTAATAGGTGCTATTTTGCATCGAAAATGTGCTATCGTCTGTACATTACCTAACTAGAGATAAAGTTTGAGTCACAAGTTAAATTATTAATGACAGACCTAGACAGAAACAAACACAATTATCAGCTGTAAAACCAAACAATTTTAGGCATAATTATGTAATTTACACGATACTTATAGCAGTAAGGCAATTAGTTTTATATATTTAGTACTCACAATCTTCACAACAAGCGGATAGTTAGACCCCTTCTTGGGCGAGTTTTCATGTTCACACGCAGAGTATATTTCCCCAAAACCACCGACACCAATAGATGGCCCTATCCGCCACTTCTTTTTGGCGATCGTATTGTGAATAACTTCTCCAACAGGAATAGGAGCGGGCATTTTATACCCATTTTTTTTAGGGGCTGCTGCAGCTTTTTTGGCTCTTCCAGCCATTATCGCTAAAATGTATTATGTAAAATAATTTACTTATAACAAAGCGTAATATAAATTGCACTTGCACTATTTAGTAAGAATTATTCATAATTACAAGTATCAATTCAAAAACTGAAAACAAGCAAGCAAGCCGCGTTGCGTTGTTGCTCAAAAAATGACACACACAAACATTGACAGTTGACTGTTGACTGCCTGTCTCATCTGTGGTTGACTGTTGACAGTTTGCACTCCTATTTTTGTTTATGGTAAAGCGTTATTAACGCCATCTATTTTTTCATAGTGAACACTAAATCAGATTTCCAACGCCAACTCATTATGTAAAAAAAAGTTTAATTTTGAATATAAAATATAGGTGGAGCTGTAATCTATTATAGACAAGTGGCAAAACTTGTAATTTCAAAAGGCAATTTATTAATATTTATAAATAAAAAAATCTTTTAAAATCGCTCTGCGAGTTTTGCGAAGGGATTTGATTTTTCGGAGCAATCAGAAAATGCCAGTTGCTTGTCTGGGGGGCTGTTATCATCATCAGTGATCATCAGTTGTTATCATTTAATGTGTGGATGTGACGATGAAACCAGTTAAAACGAACTTTTTAGCGGGAAAGTGCGTGAGACAATATCTATTTTTAATAAATAAAACAAAACATCATTAAAGTTAGAAGGTAAGTAACTTATGTTTAATTTACAGAAGTCTCTTGTAGTCAGTTCAAATAATTAAGTAGATACTTTAGTTAACTTTGTTAAATTGTTATTGCTCTCATTGGTAGGTACTTAAAAGTATTTTTTTTACCGTATGTTTTTATACCGTGGCATACCGTCTGTAAGTATAATTATCTTTAAATGTAGGCTTAGGCTTTAGGTAGGTTACTTATTAGCAACGCACAATTTTACTATCTATAAATTGAATAAATTAACCAAGTTTCAACCAAAATTATATTAGGTAGGTAAGTAACAAAAGTAACACTAGATTATTTTTAAACAAATCTTTATTAAATCTCTAACAATCAACGTTAACATGACATTTTCCATTTTCACTAGCCTTAAATTAAGTAACAAGTTAAACCTATGGCACACAGACCGTCAGGGCAACGCGACGTTCAGCGAACAAGAACGCGAGAATACACTACTAGGTACCACAAAAGTATGACGTGCTCTACTACCTACGATTCCATACAATTTGATTTTTCGGTCTCCTCTCCTCTCAAACATAACTGACAACCGACAAAAAGTTGGCAGGAGCTACAGGCTACAGCGACAGATGGATACGGAATTAAAGGCTTTTAAAACTACCTCTCTCTCGTGGCGTTTATTTACTTAGCTAGGTAGCTTGCGGACTTCAAGTTCAGCTTACTCAAGTAAGTCTGCGCTAAGTCTGCGCACAGTCTGCGGACTTCAAACTTCGCGTACCTACTTACGGAAGTTCGCAGCTGTCAATTTGTGGAAATGTTACGCGCCAGCTGTGTGCCAGAGGTTTTATACTTACAGATATTTTTCTTTCCTTACAGCTTACAGTATGTTAGCTTACAAATAAATAATAAATACTTACGAACGAGTAAATAATCCATCTACAAGAAGACTGAGTACTTAATATATCCCTGTCTTTAAATAAACATAAATTACAGGTACCAAGGTACTAGCTACGAGTACTAATCATGATTATGATTACAAACATCTGACCTGTATCTGACACCACAAATTAGGTAAAGTACAAAATTAACAAGAGTTTAGCATGAGATAAGGTATAGTGACTATAAAATAATTTTTCCAATAATCCATGTGGTTCGCATACGTGATCTGAAAAGATTAAAAGAAGATTTATTTTTTATTTTACTCAAAAAGCAAGTTATAGTAGGTACTTATTTCTGTTTTGACGGAGAATCTATCTACATACTTTATCTCCTTATTTCAGGAACTAACCAACAAGAAGACGACACCAAGTAGAAGCTACAGTTTCATGTAGGTAAGTACCTTCTTCTTAAAGTAGTACCTACTCGTATAAACTGACATTGATTCATTGGGTTCAACTAGCTCTTTATTTGATTTGGAATCAATAATCATTGAGTTACATCTTAGTTGACTTCGAAAAACAAAATCTTCGTGTGACGTTAAACGTAGACCATGGAAGTGGACAAATTCCGCTTGTACAAAGTATCTCAACTTCCTGGCGGCATCACATTCACATCCCCGACGATTCACAGTTAAGTTAATTAAGCCAGTATTCACAAACATTACTATGAGGTTTCACAGTGCGCGTGGAGCCGTGGACACAGGGTGACACACGAAACCAATCACAGAGCTCTATATTCAACGTTGTGCGTTCGATTTTCTGAAGCATCGTTTGTGAATACGGGCGTCAGATAGTATACGAACAGCAATCACCTCAAAGCAAGTCATAATCCTCGTCGTCCCCATACGCCGTCATGGAGTACCAATCCCTCGCCACATCTTCATAGATGATCCTCTTCACGTCTTCCCCGTATTGCGGGGGCAGCAGGCGTGGGGAACGCGCGCGGAACTCTAGAGGCACGTCGTAACATCGGCACACGCAGCACGCCGGGAACTTGAACCAGTCAGAGAAGATGCCCCGGCAAGGGTTGTGAGGATCGAAGGCCAGCAGCCGGTGCAGGCGGTAGTGCTGCTCGCATCTGGAAAGGTAAGAGATAGGATAGAGTTTAGATATTTGTTTTTCGAACTCTTTCTGTATTGTTCTGGTTAATTTCGTCGCGGTTCCAATGACAGTTTAGCTTTCTCCCGGAACAAACTTGACCTTCAAGTGAGCTACAAATCCTGGTTACACAGGAGTTGCAGCCGTGGGAATGAGAGGTGGGAATAGTCTTGTTTAGATTTTTAGATTGTTCTCCAACTTTAAGGAATGGGTGACATAGCACATTTAAGTACCTACAGTTGAAGAACAAGATGATTCTTCAGGAGGTGACAGAATTTACGGTTGATGAATTACTTGAGAACTCTAGTTTCAGAAAAGAGTTGTGAGTTGGTTATATTCTTTCACGTGATATTATGGTGATTCTGCTCCGGAAAGTTCGACTTTAGATTGTTGATTAAATACCAAAAAATCCTTCAAAAATTTGCTGACATCAATTCATTAAAGTGTATCCTTACGTTTTACAATTTAGGGAATGTTTATTCGTGTTTCTATAAATTAATCGTAGGCAAGGTATTGTCGGTCATAACAGGCATTAGTTTTGTGCCTGACTAGGAACATAAAAAACCTCGCCATGTTGCGGAAATCTAATGGTACTAATTTCTTTTAATGGCAACAATAACTAAAAACTTCATTGACATGTCACCTTGCATGTCAGTCTATTGCTGTCAAAGTGTAAACAAACTTTATTTTAAATGTGCACAATTGATTTTGTGCATGAAATTGCTAAAATCTTTTTATAGTCGTGAAAGAAAAGTGGTTCACAATGTGTTAAAGTATTTGTCGAAGAGAAATACCAAGGGTTCGGACAATATTTTCATTGAATAATGTTTCCAACAAAGGTTGTCAAATTGACTGACATGTTTATCGTATAGTACAGTCCACTATGAAAATTAGCTGTGGTTTGTTTCAACTACCTATTTTAAAGTTTTTTGTCACTTTCTAAGTGTTGAATTTTATGGAATTGGGAAAGAAGTACCGAGTTTGAAGCGTTCATGAGCAGACATTGCAGTTGAATATTCAAGTTCTGAATTTGATTATATGAATAATAAAATAAATCCTACTAGCTCGATTGATGGTTTAATTTAATTTATTTAAACCAGGTTACCTATAATAATATGTTTTCGTTAATTTATGAAATTATTAAATTAGCCCGTAATCCTGAATCCTAATACATAAAGTTAGCCTATTAACACAGGTACGACTGTACCTACTCAATGTTGCACTATCAAATGCAATTGATGCGCCTCTATGCCAGGGTTTTTATGTTCCTGGTCAGGCTATATTAGCAATAGGATATCTAAAAAGCTCGAAATACTCTAAAGTGCAATACTTAGTTTTAATTAATAGATAGTGTTACCTGCATCCTTCTCGGCAGTACATCTGCTTGCGCTCGTGCACACAGGTCTCCAAGTGGATGTACTGCTCGTACGGGTACATGTTCACCAGCACCAGCTTCTCGCCGCGCGTGTTGTTCGCCCAAAATGGCGCCAGAAGCTCCTCCTTTGTCTCACAAGCATTTCTGGAAGATACGTTGGGTCAGGCAGGACAAAAATTTAATAACAGTGGTCTTTGCAAAACGATTGAAATGATATTTTGAATACGAATTCTAGGTCAAACCAAGTAATCTGGAAACATTTCTGGAAGGCTCTAAAAACGGCTGCTAGTTTGCCAAGCAAGCATATTTTTGAGAGATTCAGATGCCAAAGCGTAACAATGATACCATAGAATAGAATGATACTTTATGTTAGTTGCAAGCATTCCGAATGTTATGAAACTTACGCTCCTCTTAATTTAATAACAGAAGGCCGTATCTTCTCTTGCTGGTGCGTGGGCTTCGTTGGCGGCTCCTCTTTCTTGTCGTTCACTTTCGTGTCTACCCGGTCCACCACTTTCACCTTCTCGTGCTCAGAGAACAACAGCGTCGGGGGCAGTGTCGACGCATCTGGAACAGGATTCATAGCTTTCCAACCGCCTTTATCCGATTCTGTAGTCGTATCATCGTACTGCTCTACAGTTGTCGTCTCCGTAGCGTTCATGGACGGTTCTGTAGTCAAAGTAATGTTTTTATCTGATTCTGTTGTTGTGTTATTATTCCCACCACCACGCAAAGCTTCGCTCTTAGAATTATCAGAGTTGTTTGGATAAATGCTATTTGTTTCTATACTTTGTTTGATAACTGCATCCAAAGTGATGACATCAGGATCTAGGTTATTGATCTCGATGTGCGCTATACTCTCTAGTTTGGTTTTGTATGATATCCCTTTATCGCCACTCTGCGTCCCGTTGTTAGTAGAGCTTGTTTTATTACCAGTTTCTACCCTGTTGAGTTTGGTACTATTACCGCTAGCATCTAAAGGCTTAACTCTTAAGGAGTCGTTTTCAACTTTTTTCTTGTCACTACTCTGGATGGGTCTGAAGTGAGGTTTGTCTTTCATGGCACGTCCTCGCTTGCTGTACATCATCTTGGTTTTGATGATGTCCTCCGCGAAATCAGGCGG